AGCCTGTAGTCAACTAGGTGGAACTGCAATTAGGGCGCTCCTTTGAATCATATATATGGCTGTTCCTTCTCTGATATATGATGATGCAGTTGTTGGTAGTTATCAAACGCTACTATTAAAAGCCGCTTTCCCATGGATATAACTGATCAAGGAGACACTTGAAATCAAAGCACATACTTGCTTTATCCTTGTCGGGAGTAATCCCGCAACATTGTTAATCGACTTATACGCCGCATTTTCCAGTGTGGGTATGAACTCTACTAAACTCTCTAGGTGCGCCGGCGTAGCGGTCTGTGATTTTTCTCTACAAAAGATCCATTCATTTACATGACCGGTAGCCGTCAAAAGCTTGACATCGATTCTCACAGACTCAGAGGGATTCTGCAGGATGTGGCAGACAAGTGTGAGTATTGCCGACATGGGGTAGAAGGGTAATGTCCTATCATGAATTTAGTTGCAAGTTACGTTACGTATGTGGTTGGCGAAATATGCTATATTTATAATGAAGAAATCAAAGTTGATTTTGTGGAAGGCTTGAGCCTGCAATTAGTTTTGCTTGCCAGTCTAGGTGCTCGGAACATTGATATTGGCCCATTAGCTTTATTCGAGACTTGATAAGCCCAGGATGTCCCACCTCATGATCAGAGCCAGGGTCTAACCGAAACATGATCGCCAGATTGACTCGGCGATGGACACGCTTTGAAGATTGACTCCTGGCCAGAAACACCACCTAACGGCACTGTATATGGCTTTATCAATATACGTATAAAATAATATGATCGAACGCAATGGATTAACTCAACCTATGCACACTTTCGCAACGTCCAGCGCACTCCTTGAGCCTGCTCGGAGCTTAACTCGGAAGCTTATGAAAGTATGGTTCCGCTGAGTCATTTGCAGATGTCATTTAAGATAGTTAATTGGTTGATTTGCCGGATACTCCGTATTTAGTTACCAGACAAAAATCCGCTGACTCATTAATCTCCGCCCAGGAGCCCAAATCGATAGACAATCTTTAAAGCCAAGAAGGCCCAAATATGGCCAGTACCAATTGGGATGGGCTTTAAGGCCCTTACCCCCTTATAATCAAAAAGGGAAAATAGTCCGATCATGCAATTCGGATTCTAGAAAATGCCGAATGCGAATATGGATACAGCTCAAGGCTATAACAGCGCGCACCTCCGCGTGGGCAGCTCGTCTTCTCGATTCACATGATCTCCATATAAGCGACGCTCTTTATCTTGTATATCTTCATTGATCGTCGGAACTCACTTCCTGTATGTGCAAGTAATTCATGTTGCTCAACATATCAGGAAGCAGTACAATGCAGGTTCCAAAACAGATGCTAGGTCCCCTAGCAGGGGCTTTCGTCTCCCTCCAGGTCCTATTCCTCGCCAACATGTGCTATCTGTATGGCACTGCATTTCAAGACGGCACACGGTTCAGTGCAATGAAGGTTCTTTATGTTGACTTTGACCAGGGCATTATTGGCCAATCCGTGCTGAAAGCCTACGACCTTGTCAAAAGCCCAGCCTTTCCCACCATCAAACAACATTCCATAGTAGAGTATCCTACCGAGGACTCCTTGAAGCGTGCAGTATGCAAAGAAGGGTACTGGGGAGCTATATATGCTAAAAACAATGCTTCTTTGCGTCTATCAACGGCCATCGCCTCCCCAGCTGCAGCAGAAAACTACAATAATGCCGACGCCTTGGGATATGTCTGGAACAGCGCCAAATATGCTGCCTATGCGCAGACAATCCACGCAAGCCTTACCGAACTGGTCCAGGTAACCGGCAACGTCTACAGCCAAGCGAACGAAACATCCATTTTCGCCACAGCCAATGTCTCCAACCCTTCAATTGCGTCAACCCTTCTACAACCTATAGCTAGCACGGAAACCGACCTCCTCCCCACCGACCAGGGAACTCGCTTCTACTACAATACCGTATCGATGGTTATGCCGATCCTTCAACAATTCTTCTTCCTCATGGCTATCAATGGAATTTCAATGAAATTCAATCTTTTTGCTGTCTCACTCACTCAGCTGGTTAGCTTCCGTGCCCTTGTCGCTTTCGTGTACACGTTCATCAGTGCTCTCGCAATGTCCGGATATATATGGGTCTTTCGCGAAGGGTGGGACGTCCATTCCTCGCAGTTTGGATTGACTTGGATGACTATCTGGCTTGCAATGCAAGTCCATTACTTGCTCCTTGAATTTGTCACCACGTTTGTGCCGATGCAGTTCATTCCCTTCGCTATCTTGACTTGGATTATCCTGAATGTCTCGAGCACGCTTAGCCCCTTTGAGCTATCGCCGGGTTTCTATCGCTGGGGATATGCTCTGCCTGGTAGGGAGCTCTATGATACGCTCCTTCAGGTCTGGACGCGAGGATGTAACCCTTACTTGGGAAGAAGCTTGCCTATACTCTGGTCTTGGTGGATTGTGGGCGTTGTGGGTTTTGCGGTTGCTCTGAGGTATCGTCATCAGACAGCGATGAAGGCCGGAGTTCAGATTATAGAGGATGAAAAGTCCGAGGGGCCCAGGGCGTGACTGGTATAGCCTTTGAAATTGTTGGCGTTGGAATCATGCGTATTCATTAATTTTGTAGTTGACTCGATAAGAATGTCAATCCTCTAGTAATGAACACATCACAGGAAAGCTATCCGATACACATGTCTTTACAGTTTGCTTCCCATTCCAACGTCTCGATCTACTGCATCTCGCTGGTCTGCGGCTGGCAAGCTAGGGGCCGGCAGATTCAACTCGATCGCAATTGCCTTTGCAGCCCAGAAGCCCGTGACAAAGGCAAGAGCCAAGCCGCCCGCATATCCGAGGTTACTGAACCCTCCACCATCAACCCCAGCAACTAACAGCCCTGGGATGGGATTTCCATCGGTCGTCAACGCGCGGCCCTTAGGGTCGATTCTAATGCCACCGTACGTGAATGTAATTCTGCATGATCAGTCATATGCACAGTTTGATCGAAGAAGGGATACGTACGATGGCTGCACTTCCATACAAAAGAAGGGTCCGTCGCCCTCTACTAAGGGGACTGGAGGTTTTCCGCCTGCCCCGACAGGGGCATCCAACGCCACAGTCGAGTTGCCTAGCCGGATGACCTGATCATATTGTTCAATTGTCCTTCGAGCCTGTGTCTCGTTTACTCCCCATTCTTTGAGTATGTCGACCAGCCCGTTGATGCTCGGCGCACTACCGACACGGCAGCCGTGTTCCTGAGCTTTGGCTAGACGATCGATCTCACCCCCGTTGGGGAACGGTGCGGAGATGCAGTGCTGGGTCCGAGTGCGATCGCTGCGTTGTCAGACATATACTTCGAGGAACATCATGGGGAACATACTTGAACAGAAGAAATCCTCGCCGTTTCTCTTGCTTCGCGAGATACTGATTGATAATCTCGTCGCCGGTCGTCTCATCCGCGAATCTCCGGCCACTCTCGTTGATAAGCAGGCAATGTTTGCTTTCTAGGCGATAGTTAGCACCATGTATGGAGAGAACCTATGCCACTTACGATATTGTGCCAACGGCAAATAGTCCCGTGGGTCGACCTTCTCGGCCTGCAGAGGCGCCGCGAGTAAATGACCATAGAAGGTGCCCATCCCACGACTGCTACCCGCACCTACTTGTGTTCCTAGGATCAAGCCGTCTCCCACTGATCCCTTGTTGGATCGCACAAACATGTCGTCTGCATGTTGGCCCATATGCATAGACAGTAGCCTGGGGTTACCTTGAAATCCCCCAGTGGCTAGAACAACCCGCTTTGCTCGAACTTCGTAGTGTGCACCATCCGCGCGACGAATAACCGCCCCAATAACGCGCGATCCAGGGGCTCCCGGAACTTCTTGTAGGAGCTTCACCACCGCGGTATTGGTGAATATTTGTGAGCCGGTATTGCTATCTCGGATGCGCTGCTGATGATATGCATGGAGATGAGGGATATTGATTGGGAAACCGATGCCTGTACCTCGTGTCAATTACTTGTCGCTGTAACGAGAAGAATGACATACCAATTGTCATAATACCATCAAATCTCTGCGCCACTGGGACACCATTTTCACGCATCCATTGTACGGCCGGGAGGTAGTCTTGCATCCAGGCGGCTTGGAGATCGGGATTACCCCATGGTACCCATGAGCGCAGACTTGAGTAAGACTTGGGGCCCCAACTGTACCAAGGTAATAAGTACGTGTTCCCCATAATTGATAGGTGCTAGCTTCAACATACAACATCCCTGCGGAGTAATTGGATGACCCGCCCACGGTGGACTGTTTCTCTACAACGAGAACTTTAGCCCCGGAGGACGCGGTGAAAGAGGCACAGGCAAGGCCTGACATGCCCCCGCCACAGATAAGGGCATCAACGGTAATTGTTTGCATTATGTTATAATCAAGCTATGGGAAAGAGGTATGTGTGCAGTGATGTCTGAAGACGAGCGCCGGGTATATAACCACCCTCCGGTGGCTAAATTAAGTGGCCGGAGGACCCACCCTGGCATCTTGTGCCTGAACGAGCATGACAAGACCGGGTTATATGGAAAGGCCATTCGGTCAGGCTGATAGCAAATTCATGTATACGAACTCTAACCAGCTTCTTTCAGTCCATGCCCATGCTGAATGGAAAGTGGCGAAACCGGCCATGGTAGGGCTGTCCGAATACCGTGATTCCCCGCATTTCTCTAGAATTTCTCGGTAATTCGGGTAATTTTCCTGCGACTACCTAGAAGCTCTCATCCCATGATTCTTTGACTATGGCCCCAAGCACTCGTTCAAGTCAAGCTAGGAAAATCTCCAGGCCCTCTGCAGCCGCATGCGAAGTATGTCGTCAACTGAAGATGCGCTGTATCCGGCCAGATCTATCGGAGCCATGCGACCGCTGTCGGCGCAACAATCGTCGCTGCAACATCCCCCCTCCCCGTCCTCTGGGTCGTAGGCCTGGTGCTGTTGGTCGCTATAATGGGTTCGAGAAGTCTTATCGAAAGATGCAAGCTCAGCTCAAGAAAGCACCGGTATCAGCTGATGAGGTACAACAGGTGTTGAATACCACGGGCCAAGAGGAATTACTTCAAGTCATCGTGGCGAAGCTGCAGCATGGCAGCGACGATAAAAGGCCAGTGCCAACCACTGACGGTGCAATGAGAAGCTACCAGGATGGCTTACCAACTCCAAAGGAGCCAGTTAGCAATCCACTCGCACTCCTGGCGGACGCATCTAGCGCAGCACAGCCATTGACGCCGTCGCTGGATCTACCATGTACTACAAGTGGAGGCCCGGTGCTCCTCCAGCACTCAGTCTACGCGTCCCTAGGTCTGCAGCTAAGTCGACACACATTGGAAGAGGGCCTCAGTGCCATTTATGATACCACACTGCCCATCCTGTCCCAATCAAATTATTTTCGACCTCCTGATGCGGATCCATCTCGAGATGTCGGCCCAGATCTGGATCCTATTGAGCTGGGGCTATTATCGTTAGAGGATGCGCAAAATTTGTTTTCAATGTATGTGCATTACTTTCTAACAGTTATCTTGCTAATGGAATACTAGCTATTTCGTCCGCTTACACCCCATCAACGGCATTCTTGACCCAATTCTTCACACCGTCGACTATGTGCGCTCTCGCTCCGCTCTCCTCTTCACATGGATTCTGGCCATTACGGCTCAATTCGATCACCAGTCTGCATCGTACGCCAAACGCCTGCGCCTTCACGGCGAGAACCTCTCGCGACATGTCCACACATCTGGGTACAAGTCAGTCGAAATCGTCCAAGGATACTACATTTCGCTTCTCTCTGCTACCCCTGCCCCGACATTGTCTGAGGAACGCTCATGGCTCTACACCTCCTACGCCGTCGCCGTCGCCACTGAGCTAGGCTTAGACCAGGTTAGTCCTTCGAACACTCTTGCCTCCGACTCGATCATGTCCCAGCAACAGGCGCGTAATCACGAACGCACTTGGCTGCGCATCCTCCTGTGGGAACGCGCTACCAGCGCCGCTTACGGGCGAGCAACTGCCTTTCCCGAGTCCCCCCTTACCCGGAATATTCAGAAATGGTGGCTGCACCCTCTTGCCGATTCTACCGACAAGGACACATGTGCCTTTATTCTTCTCCGTCGACATCTAGCAGACCTTCATCATATCCTGCACCAGCAAGCCTCTTTCACCCACGACAACCCCCACTGGGTCCGCGATCTCGTGGACTCTATTCTAGACCCGTGGCAAATTACCTGGCTTCCTGGGTGTACTTCAAAAGCCGTCACCCCCTCTCTCAACATATCCACAGCCTTCCTCACGTACGTATATCTACATAACCGTCTCTGGATGCTCTCTTTCGCCCTGAATACCTCAACTATCCACTCCCACGCCCTCCAAGAAGACTGCTTTACAGCCGCGGTTCAATGTTGTACCCTCGCTGTCCACGATCTCCAATCAATTGGTGAACCTCTGTACTGTCTTCTCTCCCCATCTTGGGCGATGATCGCCTACGCCGCCGCTCTCGCCCTCAGACTCTTCCCCACCTTGTATGATACCCATGCCGACGATGAGGGCGAGTTGCTAGGGCTGCTAGGGCAGGTAGCCCTGCAGCTAGAGAAGGCTGGAAGCACCCCGTCTCATAGAATTGGAATTGCGTCCGTGCTCGGGAGGCATTTGCTTAGTGTCTTACGGGCCAAAGTTGGGACGGGGATTGGGCCTGGCGTTGTTGCGGATAGCGGGCTGCACTTTTCATCCGAATCAGGTCTGGTGGGGAGCAGCTGCGATCCGGTCTTGGGATCTGTTGCGATGCGACTGGATGAAGGGTTTGCGGATGTGTTTCGGGAGGTGTTCGGGCCGGGGTGGGGGCTGGGGATGGAATGAGATTGGAATGTTGATCAGTAGATACCCGGAGATAGTTTCACTATGGTAGCAGGGGTGATTACGATGCATCAAGAGTGAGGGAATGGTGCACTTCACAATCAATTTCAATCATGGCAAGGACTAGCTTCAGGACGTCGAAATCACCACCTGAAATAGGTACATTTACGCAGTGTTTATATGTATACTGGTCGGCATCTGCAATTCCGCTAATATACATACCTATGCTTGGCTGTCATCGTATTGCTGTGAGGTGTTTTCCCTCTAATCTTGTCTTGGCGCATTTGTCTGCTTTTTCTTATTTCTTTTCCTTCCAGAGGGTGGGGTAAGGGCGACCTATGAAAACTACATATACTCAGACGATTTCCGTCCCCTTTGGCCTGTCTTTTTGCTTTTTATATATGCTTTTTTCTTTCCAAAGATATCAGCGATTGTATTACTCATGAAATTGATATGCGGGATGGTCGGCCTTCCCGAGCTGACCACATTGTTGCCGTTTCCGGCTAGCACCTTGGGATAGCTCCTATTTCGATATCCAAAAATTCTGTGGTCATTGATGTTCCGTCTGGCCGTGTGGCAGCGCATGTTACTATGAAAGATGGAGAGCCAGCACAGGCTTACTTTATGAATATCGCCAGCTTTCCGATAGAGAAGGGACTATCTGTGAAGATCCCTTCTCGTAATGAGGAGATCCGTGTTGATTTGGCTTTTGCCGGTGCTGTTATGGCTTCAGTGAGTGCTGCTGAATTGGGTCTTGAGGTCAAGCCGGGTAATGCGGATGCATTCATCAAACTTCAGCGAGAGATAAAAGCAGCACTTGGTGATAGGGCAACCTATCTCGATTATGAGTTGTACGCAGTTATCTTTTTCGAGGACGAAAGGAACCATCCCGATTACCGGAAGACAATTGTCCAGAGGAATGTTACTGTCTATGGTGATGGTCAGATTGATCGGTCCCCTTGCGGCTCTGGCACTTGTGCGAGAATTGCCCTCCTATCTTCGGATGGTCGGCTTCGAAAGAACCAGAAACTTTTACATCACTCCATTATCGGGTCGGCTTTTGAAGCGGAGATAGAGTCCTGGGGTGGTTCCCATGGGGACTTTGATTCCTGCAATGTGCTTGTGAAGGGCCAGGCACATCTGATTGCGCAGTCGCGGTTCTTGATTGACGAGGAAGATCCCCTCTCTCCTGGGTTCATTTTGCGTTAGTTGATGAATATTCGTTTTGAGAGGTTGAATGTGGGCCATTTACATTGAACTGTATGAAACAAGCCTGTTGTAAAGTTACATTGCTAGCATAAATCCGCTCTCGATTATATTTAAGAGCAAACTGAATCCAAAGCACCCTACTCAAAGATGGTTGACGGAATTCATAGCTCATATTGCCAGATGATGTTTCCAGCCCAGTGCTACTATATTCATTTGCATCTGGCCCCCACGTTTAGATCTGTTTCCACCCGCAGCTCGGGCCAAGAGTCGGATCCTGCAGGGCGGGGCTCATGTCAGCTAGACGCCCATCGCTGACTGCAACCATTTCTTGCTTACATGCCCAGTGAGTAGCAGCTTGAATGTGCAATATGAGCTACATCCTCCATAAGCCTCTAGATTAAGACCTCTTATCGTTGCAAGAGACCATGGATGCCCTGGAACGAGACGCACCTCTCTGCGCAAGGTGCCGCACCATTGACTTCGATGCTATCTTCCAACTCAGCAACGATGTCCGAGATGCAAGACTAGAAGGTCTACCAATAATATCACTGGGTAGTATCATTTCCGACCCAAACACGCCATGTCTAATGTGCGATCTCTTCGACGAAGTCAAGTTCGACCTCGACGTATCAGCTCGCCAATCAGCATGGGATACCAGCCAATATCATTTACGTGCTTTTAGCAGCCTCATAAAAGAAGTAGGAGTTACGACAGAAATGCCAACAGAACCTAAGCTACGAGATATTATCAAGCAAATTCGCAGGGGGGATGAGTATATGAGTGACGAGTCAAACAGTGTGTTTCTCGCGGTATTTCCGGGAAGCGGTGATGATGTTTTCGTCACCAGTGAAATCAGAATCCATGATATCTGCAGCCATCTGGAACAAAGTGTCATTATGCCGGTGGAGGGGTCTGATGTTGCCAACTTACGGACTCACGGGGTCCGAGTGTTGCCGAAGCAGATCAATTACACTCGTCTGAAGGAGTGGATGGAGAGCTGCCAGGGTCATCATGGGCCCCGATGTACTTGCTCACCTACTCCTCCGCCTTTTGTACTAAAGGTGATCGATTGCCAGACCCGGCAAATTGTCCCACTTCAGCCAGGTTGGGAGTATCTCGCGCTCAGCTACGTATGGGGACCACTGTCCGCGGAGGAATCAGCTGTCCGAATACAAAAGTCTGAGACTGTGCTTCCGGACAAAGTGCACGGTACTATCAAAGATGCCATCAGAGTCGTCAACAACCTCGGAGGTAGATATCTCTGGGTCGACAAATACTGCATTGACCAGGACAACGCACAAGAAAAGCACGATCAAATATCTCGCATGGATCTGATATATTCTGGCGCTTACGCTACTATAATCGCTGCTGGTTCTGATATATCGATTTCTGGGTTACCTGGCGTTGGTGCGGTTCCACGACGGCGCCAACCACAAGCAACCTCACCGACAGCCTCTGGGAGGGATTTGAGACTGGTATCTACACTGCCTTCTATACGACGTGCTTTAGCCTCTAGTCCATGGATATCTCGTGGCTGGACCTTTCAGGAAGTAATTCTTTCGCGTCGATGTCTGTTCTTCACCGACTTTCAGGTTTACTATATGTGCGGAGAGACTACAAATTGCGAGTCGACCGTGCTCTCCCCTGTTGAATTGTCACACATGGCCACAGCCCAAACAGCCACAAAGCCTGCCCGCGACGACATCCTCGATTCTTCTCGGTTCACCTATCATATACCCCTACATCCAGCATACTATTCCAGTAGGCCATATCGACCATGGGCCTTCCGTACACACCTATCAAACTACTCAAGTCGAAGCCTCTCCTACAATTCCGATGCTATCAACGCCTTTCGAGGCATCCTCGCTCGCTCCGATCATCCAACCTTCTACGGTATTCCGTTCTTGTTTGGCGGAGAGACTTCCTATACTCTAGCGCGCGATCCGAATTTCCGTTTCGTCTGCGCACTGTCCTGGGAGCCTATTTATCAACCTCCTTGCAAAGATGATTGCAGTGCAAATGGCGAAGATGGACACTTGATACGGAGAAAAAAATTCCCCAGCTGGTCCTGGGCCGGCTGGATAGGTCAGGTCTCATATCACTACTTTCTCTGGAACAGGAGATTCGGCTGTGCAGAGGATGATCTTCTCCCACAGGAGCTGGATGGGCATCAGCCTGTTCGCATATGGATTTGCTTCAACCTTCGTCAGAGTATTGACCATATCTCCATAGGGGATATCTCAATAGAAGAATTCTTCGTCAACCACAACAGCGCTCTTTGGGGGAATATCTTGCCTGAATTCTCGCCCTTTCTGCAGATTGAATGTACCGTCCTCCATTGCCTCCAGATAAAGCTCTTGAGTATTCCCTCCGGGACTACTTCTGTTCCCGCAGTCAGAATCGTTATAGGGGATGGGTATTCCCGTGCTCCGGTGCTGTTCTGTGGGCCACCTCCTTGTTCAAACGAGGATGGGGTGATAGAGGAGGAATATACGGGACTGGTGCTCTTCGAGAGAAGACATAGCATTGCCCTATGCACGCCGTGGGATCACATTGGGATTTTTGTTCTTCTTGTGAAGAAAATCCAGGGTGGGAGGGAGGGGCACTATGAGCGTGTGGGATCTGCATGGTTGGATCGAGCGGAGTTAGGAAAGCTGGGTTGTGATGGTAAGACGAAGATGAGGAGAGAGACGATTTCATTATCTTGACCTTGTTCAAGATATGTACTATGGTCATGGATTGACCCTGTCAAGAGGTAGCAAAGCATAGACCGGACACGCGAGTCGAAGATGCCACCTTACATTGAACGGCAGTATTTTCTCTGGCGCTATTTGTAATGTCGTGAGGCCCCGCACGATGTAGTTGAAAACTCTAGTGTAGCATGCAAGGAAGGAGCGCACTACGCCAATCATCCCATATTTCTTATACTGTAGGTAGACAGCCCTGCATCGAGTATCGGAGGCAACGTGCGAATCACTCGTCCCTTCCAACATCGATGTCCGACAGTTTGAAACTTCACGGGGCATGGCTTCTTTAGGACTATTTCGGCCCTCTCGGATTTCCTTTCCACTAAATGTTGACATCCACCACCAACACATAAACTAATGTGATTGGCATTCGGTATGATTGGGTGACAGCGTGAGCCGTAGCGCCGAGGCGGGGAGGCGAGTACTACAGAGAACAAGGCTGCGATGTGTTGTTCTAGCATTCACAGTTCTTGATTGGCTGTTCCTCTAGGCGTACGCGCCCACGCGCAAGGGGTCGATATGAGCGAGACTGATGCCTAATAACAGCTTCGGGTGTCGTTTTGGAACTTTTATTAGCTTGACCAGGTCTTGCGTTTTATAGATTGATATCTTCCCACACTCTTTGTGACCAAGGTGCACGACCAAGATCAGCTATGCCTCCCAGGTTTGATCCTAGCGTTTACACTGTGGGCTGGGTCTGCGCTACCAAAGACGAGGTCACTGCTTCTCGAGCCTTCCTTGATGAGGAACATGAACAGCCGCCTAGACGGCAGAATGATAACAATGTTTATATCGTTGGCCGAATGGGGGAACACAAAGTGGTCATCGCGTTTCCGGGAGCGGGCTCGTATGGTGCAGATGCCATTGCCCATACTGTGGCTAACATGGTTCGAACATTTCGGAATATCCGATTCGGTATGATGGTCGGGATAGGCGGAGCGGCGCCTTCACCACCGGATCCTAAGGACCCATTAAATGACATTAGGTTGGGAGATGTTGTTGTTAGTGAGCCGAAGGGAAATTACAGTAAGCTCCATTGTGGTCCCCATGTGCTCGTTTTTGGCTTCTTGTTTTCTTCCCAGCTTCTCACAATAATCAAGGCGGAGTATTGCAGTACGACAAGGGCCGCTGGAAGGATAATGGGTTCGAAATCAGATCGCACATGAATAAACCTCCAAAGCTTCTACTAGCTGCGATGAAGCTGCTGCAGTCTGATCATGACATTGGCCGGGGAAAGATGACAGCCTTCATTGATGACATTAGACACAAGTCCAGCCAATTACTATCATGGGGTTTTCGCTTCCCAGGCCGCGAGCTCGATCGACTATACAAGCCAGATCTCCCGCATAGTGAGGAAACGGATTATAGGGACTATGGGCTTCAAGGGCTGGAAAAGCGCCTTGATCGTGAAACAGATGAACCTGTCGTTCACTATGGTATTATCGCCTCGGCCAATGCTATGATGAGGTCTGTCGTGTACCGAAATTATCTGAGAGATGCCTGGGGTGTGTGCTGCTTTGAAACAGAGGCCGCGGGCCTTATGAATGACCTTCCATGTGTCGTCATCAAAGGAATTGCCAATTACTCCGACGGCCATAAGTACGATAATTGGCAGCGATATGCAGCAGTCACGGCAGCCGCTTATGCCAAAGATCTTTTACGAGTCATGCCAGCTGAGGAGCCTAGCAGTACCGAAATCACTTCTCAAATTAGCGAAGACTGTATGTCAAGGTATACTTATCGTCGGAGAACTATAAGCTCACACTGGGCAGTTTCGTGGGAATTGCGAGAAGTAGAAAAACGAGTCGCCAAACTTGATGATATGATAACCCACAACCATAATGAGACAACACTCGCATGGCTGAATGACTTTCCCTACGATATCGACAAAAGTTTTATCTTTGAGGAAATTTACCCAGGCACCGGCCAGTGGTTATTGAACTCGGACAAATTCCAGTCCTGGTACCAGGCCAAAGGGCAAACTCTACTCTGTCTAGGCATTCCTGGCGCAGGGAAGACGGTCATGGCAGCTACCATCATTAAATATATTACTACACACCGGCACGAGAACAATCTGAGTCACGCGCTTGGATATGTGTCCTTCAGCTTCAGCTTCAGGTTTCCATCACAACAGAGAACCAGGAACATTGTTGCGTCAATTTTAAAGCAGCTTGCCCAACAAGACCGGCAACTGATGCAGGGACTGCAGACACTTTATGGTCGACATAGTACCAGGGGCACGCAACCGTCAACACGCGAGATGGTCAAAATTCTTTGTTCTATGAGTAGTGATAGGCAGGTATACGTTGTTATCGACGCGCTGGATGAGTTCCAAAGTCCTATGAAAGGACCGACAAAATTCCTATCGGAGCTTTTTCGAATTCAGGATGCTACTGGCCTAAATATACTCGCAACCTCACTTTTCGCCCCTGAAATTCAAAAGATATTCAGGGAAAGGGATGGCAGTTCTTCTCTGGAGATACGTGCCACAGATGAAGATGTTCGAAGCTATATTCAAGGAAACATCAGTTCCCTGCCGTCCTTTATTATGCAGGATCAAGTAATGATGGACAGGATCCTGGCGGATGTTCCCCGGGCTGCTAGCGGAATGTAAGTACCATTGGTCAATGAATGGATTGATTTCTGATGCTTATCTGACTGAACACCAACGCAGGTTTCATTTTGCAAAGCTGTGCCTCGATTCCTTGAGTGACCAAGTCTCACCCAAGCAGATGCACCAGGCATTAGCAGAACTGTCCAACAATCCAGAACTTCAGAAATTGGCGTACGAGAAGACCATGGAGCGTATCGAGGATCAATCACCAAACCTAAGAAATTTGGCCTTGGATGCCCTTTCATGGATCGTATGTGTCGGAAGGCCTCTGAGTATTCGTGAACTGCAACATGCATTAGCAATACAAACGGGCAGTCAGTCTCTTGATACGGAAGACGTTGTTGATGCCATATTGGTAGTCTCTGTGTGCGCGGGGTTCGTCTCTGTGGACATGGAGAGCGAGGTTGTCCATCTCGCCCATCATACTGCGCAGGGCTTTATAAACAATCGTTTGGAAGAATGGTTTCCAAATGCTCATCGGAGAATCGCCGAAACATGCGTCACATATCTGTCCTGTGACTGGAACTTGAGTCAGGACGCCGCAACCATAGTATCACAGCATCCCTTTTACCGCTATGCAGCTCAATATTGGGACTACCATTCTCGACTTGACCCAGTAAGTGATGAGCTTCTACTGCCACTTCTGATGTCAAAGGAAAAGGTGGCCCTGTATACACAGTACATGCGCCTCCTGGATAGCCGCTCTTTTGATATGAAGCTGGAAAAACCACAAGACATCACCGGGCTTCATTTGGCAGCTTACTTTGGGCTGATCAATATCGCCAAAGACCTTGTCAGGAACGGCGGCGATCTTAATGCAAAGGATAGCTGGGGAAGGAATGTTTTCGCGTGGGCCGCAGAATATGGGCGCAAGGAATTCTTCGAGTGTTTTTACGACCATGTTCGTTTATGGCACCAAAAGGACAAGTTTGGTGTGACGCCGCTGCAACTGACTTTATTGAATAGCCACACAGATGTTGCAAAGATACTTGAGAATCGGCATGTCGGCCCTGAACAAGAGAAAATCACAAGCTCCCGAGGGTGAATTGATGTGCGAAGTTCCGATGGGTAATCAAGACTCGGTTGAAGCTCTTCTATGCCAAGGAGCCTCGCCGAATTGCCAACAGGGTAGGCGTACACCGTTACACATGGCAATTGTTGGTGGTCATCTTGCTGTCGGGCAAGCTCTTCTAGAGAAGGGCGCCGATCCAAACATGGTTGATTGGTACGGACGGACCCCCTTACATTACGCAGCCGGAAGGGAAAGAGAAGGCTTTGTGAAGCTACTCCTGGGCTACGGTGTCGACATTAATCTCAAAGACAACAACGGTGCTACTCCTTTGATAACGGCCGTGGCTGGAAGACATGACTCGATAGTTCGGCTTCTCTTAAACTACAAACCTCAGCTTGACTCACAAGACAATTTTGGAGAAACAGCATTGATCTGTGCCGTCAGACGTGGCTCCGATGAGGCGTTGAGTCTACTGCTACGAAATGGCTCCAATTTAAACATCCAATGCAGAAAGGGTATGACCGCTTTGATTCGTGCAGCTCTTGTGAGAGATGTGGAAAAAGCCCGTCTCTTGCTGGCAGCTAAGCCGCAGATTGATATCCGCAATGAGACAGGCGCCACGGCTTTGATTTGTGCATCCCGGAAAGGGTGCTACAAGATCGTTGATGCACTAATTCAGGATGGAGCCCATCTGGACATTGAAGACAATGACGGGCAGACGGCACTGCTCTTCGCTATACAATACAATCACGAGGCAGTAACGGCTTTGCTGATACAAAGTGGGGCAAACGTCGAGGCAGCCACAGATAAAGACGGATGGTTCCCGCTATATCATGCTGTTGATAAATCTTGGAGTAATATCGTTCGTCAACTAGTAGCAAAGGGCGCAGACGTGAACCGCCAGGATGTGGATGGCAAAACAGCCCTGATCTATGGCTGTAGCTACAGTAGAAGCACTGATTGCATTCGTTCCCTTCTGGAACTTAGCGCTCAGCTCGACATTCAGGATGACTGGGGAAGAACTGCTTTGATGTGTGCAGCTCAATCGTGCTACGACGAGATGGTCATTATCCTCTTAGAACGCGGCGCTGACTGGAAGGTTCGCGATAATGAGGGACGGACGGCCTTGTTATATGCACACACAAAGTGCGACTCGTTTCTTGAACGTCAGGACAAACGTGACAGAATAATCCAGGCGTTGCTGCCTTATGAAAAATTTCTTGATGGGACGGAAGCGGGAAAGGAGGCAGCTCAGTCTGATGATGACACAGCCTGCGAAGACAAGGTGTTATCAGGAAGTGAATAAACCTATTACTCCCTCTAGATTCAACGATTGAAATCAAGGATTGCTTTTATCAGGGCTGAAACAGAGTGTCCAGCAATGTACTGAGGAAGCGCTATTTGTGATGGACAATAATCTCGCTCAACATAAGCCCCAATCGCTATTGAAATGCAGTTCCTTCTACTCTCCCGTTAACCTTAATCACTGTCAATGGGTACTCATCCCCATCAGACTCCACACCCACATCTGGTCTCTTATACACTGTCTCTGCTAGAATCACCTGATAACCCACCATTCCCTGGTTTAGGATAGCGTGAATTCCCCTGTCCTTGAGAGGAAAGCTTTCTGCTGAACGCTCGGGGAAACAGAGTCCTTGCCAGCGGACGCAGAGTTGGGAGACAAGCAGATATAATCCCCGAAGATACTTCAATAACGCACCATGCGTTGGATCGGCCCAATGTGTCTGTAATTAATCAGTATATTATCTGGAGTTAGTCAAGTGATAGACGGGCCAATGTACATGTTAAGTCATCAAAGTCGACATCTACTAGCGTTATGATGTGATATATACTCGTAAAATCCACACTGTGCAGGCATCGTCAGTACGAAATCCCAAGCACAGTCAATAACAACGTCAAGAATGATGGGCTCAATCCAATTCAATTCAAAATCAAATCAAGTCTTATTCTTATACCAGATTGATCTGAGTTGATTAGATCCTAGCTATAATAAGTACTTCGCTAGTGAAGATAAAAATATAGCTTAAGATATTCTAGAATCTCTTACATATCTTACATACACAGTAATGACAAAGTGATATAACCTATGATATAAGGTAAAATAAGAAGCATGATGACAATACAAGTATCAGGATACAATAATAAAACCACAAAAGAAAATTACGTCTGGATGGTAATATTCTTTTACTATTTGAAGAGTTCCTGAAGGCGATATACTGCAAAGTCATTGCAGTAGGCAAATATACTCCCCAGCGCTTTCGTGACGCTTAAATTTTATATATTAATCATATAGAACTTCAAGAACTGCATATTCAACCATGTCTTCGAATTATCAGTTATATTTGATCTTGAGGAGCGCTCTACGGAAGCAGTAATGAAAGTAATAATAAAAGTGAAAACAAATGAATGAACGGAAGTAAAAGAGTAAGTTGAATTAAGCTATCTAGGAGAACAAAATAAAGTAATTAAAAAAGATATTTTATAGATAGTCTGAGTACAGTATATAATTAATCTATATAAATATCTTGATACGGCCCCCTAGACAAAGAAATATACAGAAAAGTATTAAATAAAGTTATAAATATTTTCTAGATAGATAATCTTTTATATATTAAGTATTATTTCCTGGATGCTGTGGGGGGATAGTTAATAAAACTATTTTTAATAAAATCTAGAAATTATAAAACTTTTTCTAATCTAGTAATTTAATGAGGCTGTCTACCGGGTTATTAATATTTATAATATATTAGATCAATATTATACTTATTTTAATAAGATCTGTTATAATTCTGGTAGTAAATAGCTGACTATAGTAAATCTAAATAATTTTATAATATAAAAGCCAGGCTTATAATCTCTTAAGGAGTACTCTACAGAAGTAGTAATAAAAGTAATAATGAATGTAAAAATAAATAAATGAAAGGAAGTAAAAGAGTAAGTTAAATTAAGTTATCTAGGAGAGTAAAATAAAGTAACTAGAAGAGATGCTTTATGGGTGGTCCGAGTGCAGCACGTGACTAGCCTACATGAATGCCTCGACATTTGATTGAATAATCTCCTTTGTTGTCTCGTTCGCTGGGTTCGGAGCAGGGTGTTTATGGCTATCTCAAACCGCTTTCTTTGAAGATAGTTGCCCACAAGACCCTCTATCTTATCGAACTGAAATGAAATGGCTTCTTTTCATTTGTTCTTACTTCCTTCCTTCTCTTTCTTTTCTCTTTCTCTTTCTTTTCCTTATCCTTTTTCCTTTTCTTTTTTTATATCTTACTACTTGACTATGCAGTGCAGGAGAATCGGTCACGGAGTGTGTAAGCGGATCCGTGCAGCTGGTATTCTCTCTCTATCTACTACTACAGGCCCTTCTTCTCTTTTGACTACGGCAGCTATGTAAACGCGCCAAAGTCCCCTATATGTACATATAACTAGAACTACAAGGTAGTCAGAGATACCCAGTACTTACCCCCTGGCGGCCTTTGCTCCCTACATTCTTCGGCGGTGAACGACGGCCGTTGAATACAACCAAATTAATTAAGATCGGATTAAATCAAATCGAAACCCCTTGAAGCTTCATTCCTGAGATAGCGAGAAAAGCAAGCAGCCCCTATAGAATTGAGTATGTGTCAAGATGGCTTCTGATCCTCCGTAGGCTACGTAGGTGTAGCTGATATAGCTTCATTCTGACCTTCTTTGATTGAAACCGTGATAGGCAACAAGTGCAATGTAAGGTAAAGGCAAGAATCCATACTCAAATGGGAAACCCGAGAATAGAACATACTGGACAGCAGCCTGTCTAGGCCTCAACCACAGCTGTCAAGTATTGGACAGATTTCCTTATCTCATCTTCTCTTATGTAAGCTCTGGTCATCTCAACGAAATCTTTCACTCCCTTTGTATCGTCCAAATCAGGCACACTCTTGTAGTTGTCCAGATGATGCTCCGTACGCTTCCACAGCCCCCACCCCTTTTCATCCTCCCATGCAGGCACTGCCACACCAACGTTCAGCCGACAGTACTTAGGAATCATGGGTCTCGGGGCAAAAGCGTCAATGAGAACCCGGAAAAGGATATGACTAATTTCACTGTTCGTAGCGATGCTGGCAAAAGACTTTTCTACGGCATGACTACCCATAACGCCTGGGTCCACGAGTGGTTCATTAGCGGGTATTCCTGTGCCAATGCTGAGGAAGCAAGACGTGGGGCGATTAGGGCCGAAGACACTTAGGACCTCGCTCCAAAGCCTGCAATCGAGGAACGTTAGAAAGGCTATAATTGGTATAATGGTATGATGAGGGAAAGGGGATATATCTCACCATCCAACAGGATTATTGGCCCCGAGGCCACCATCCACGAGGTGGTATTTGTCAATCTCGATTGAAGGGAAATAGGCGGGCGCAGCGCTTGTTGCTCGGGCGGCCTCCCAGAGCTTGATTTTCGGTACGAGGGTGAGGTCATTTTTATTGTCGTAGGAGCGTAGGAATACTGGTGCGCGATTGTTGGCTGCATCCTTACGCACAGCTAGGACAAATCTGGGATGAATCTTATTAGAGAGACTGCGATGATTTTCGAAATGGAGGGCTCCATACACCCGACAAGAACTTTGCACGTCCCGCATTTTGATGTCATCGTTGCCAAGCTTCTTCTTGATGATTTTTTTGATCTCCTGCGCCAGCACTTCGCCATCATAGTATGTTTTGTTCCGAAAAAAATCTGCTGTCTTCCCTAACAACCCAGATTCGAACACCTGGTCACCCAGCTTCTCGTATTGGTCAATGCATTCGTCAACCGTCATCTGCAGACATCCCAACATGATAGCTATCAGACTATGGCACTCAGTCAATCAATGGACTCATGACCCAAATTTAGGCAGCAAAACTTACCCCCCAGTGCTGGTTCCGCCGATCATGTCAAAAACTTCGCAAGGCTTTCTCCCTGGGTGTGCCTGCCCCATGACTCTCCTTAAAATGTGCAGAGACAACAGTCCGCGCATGCCTCCGCCATCTGAGTTTTCCAAATTAGTATATAATAAGACTGTTGGGAGATGGGAAATACCCAGTGAAAGTACCCGCAAAGGTATCTTCTTATCGCTTAGGGCGTCAGCTCGAATGTTGCCATCGGGAAGATTAGGTTTGTATGCTGCACTTGTCAGCTCATTGAACCCCTGGACCACCTCTGCCATTATTTTGACTTTGCCGATTTCCGGCCCGTAGTTGACCGGCTCCTGGCATACTACATTACTCGGTTAGGTTTGTATCATTTACCGGCTAATACATTTGATCTCACCTTCAGTATCACCAATTTCAATCACCATATATCCAACACTAGCTTTGATTTTCCATAGGTCGAAGCGTGCGCACATTCGAACAGTGATTACGTTGCCTTCCTAGGGTAGTGTAAGAAGTTTCCCAATTAACAGGGTCTCTGAGCCTCTCACTTCAAGCTGTTTCAAAAGATCACTCTGTCGGTCAAAAACCCTGCCTTTCTCCTATAGGTAGTATTGTTAGAAGAACAGTAAGCTAGAAGAAAGTGGACAACAAATGAAAGGAAGTTAGAAACCAGAAAACACAAAAGAAAAGAAAAGAAAAAAAAAAAAAAAAAAAAAAAAAAAAAACTTACCCATTGAAGCTTTTTGGACAAGGAATTCTGACGATGACTTGTCCAGACTAGCTCAATTCCATCCTTAACTCTTGGACCTGGGGACATCGAATTCTCCAGGATAGCAAGCTCAAACCACGTCCAAATTCCCGCATCTGGTAATGAGGCCCAGCCTTGATTGTGGGACTGAGTAAACAGCTGGAGACTTCTGATCTTGCAGATAACTTTCGAATCGAGCGGCTGCGTAAGTAAGTATCGGCTTTTTGTGATAATCACCCATATTAGAGTGAGGACGTACAGGTGATCGGAACCAAGCTTTAGCATGAATTATGTCGCTGGTTGCAATCAACTCCTCTGTCTCCTGACATTCTATGCTCCACTTGCCCGCCTGGGAAGTGCCATCCTTCGGAAGCTTTGGGATGCACTTGATCTTATCAAGCTCTTATTTGGTGAGAAGGGACACCATCTTGCTAAAGCTGTGTTGTGGGGCAATAGGAATATTTCAAAGTTCCACAGTAACGGTGTTGGTTGTGAATTGAACTATATCATTACCTCAAGTTGGTTGGGAGGGGAGCGATATTATATACACTAGATCATCGCCCCTCCTTTGCCCCTAACCTGGTGCTCAGCTCCACGGCTGTAACGTGAGTCAACATTCGCGGTCAGGAATTCCACAGCCCCTCAAAGTGGGGCAATCAGCGTTTATCCAAATCTCGAAGTTCGAGTTTACTTACCATGCAAGTTGATAGGATGTTAGTTCACTCCAATCTGCCAGGTCAGACAGCCGTTACATGGTTACCCTTTTGGATTTGTTACATTAGAGATTATCCCAAAGCCCAATAACAGAGACGTATATATACACACTACCAGTGGTCTTTAGCATGGGAATATTCTGTACAGCCTTGCCAACATCCTGAAAGGGAGAGGTAAACGGAAAAGCCAGAAAGGACGAGGAAGAATTGGTATCAATGACTGTCCCCAGTACTAGGAGTAGTTGGCTACTACCGGCGGTCAGATACCTCCCATCACCAGATAATTGGTTCTTTGATAGCGATTCTGATATCTGTCGTTTTTGACCAATGATAGGAAATTACTACTAAATACCTCATTTCCCCATTCAGATGCATACTTAACACTAAACAGCAGAAGGTTTTATATTACATGCTTCTACATTAACAGTAGCCTTGTTGTGTTTCGTCCACCATAACTGATAAAAAACTTTGCGTGTAATGCATTGGCATTAGCACGTAGTGTATGAATAATGAGGGAAGATGCAAGAGATGCATGACAGGTATACCCACTTTATCAAAACTATAGCTCAATCTGCTAAAGTAGGATGGCGCAGGGAATGAACCAATTTACTGATTCCTAGTCACGCAATTGGCAGGCTTCTTTCTTATAGGCGAGAGGCATTCCACAAATGATAACGCCGAGCATCATCCTTTGGGTGTATAGCTGCCCAGCGATGTTAACCATGTCCATTACTTCCACCAATACTAAGGGAGGCGCAAGAATACACAGCGAGAACACAATTGTGGTATATAGAGCAGCCCTGAGAGAGAAAGACCCATGATGCTCCAAGTCGCCCAATGAACTCGAGTTAAGACAAACGCAGCATCACTTGCTGCACTTCATTATACTTTGTACTCTGTCGTGCGAGAAACGGTTTCACGTACGGATGCCTTAAGGGCCGATCGCAAAGCCAGAGACCCTACAAGGCCAATAACAAACGGCGCTACTCTGTCTTGTTTCTATCTCCGTGTATCTCAGGCTGTGTAGCTCGGATGTTCCCACCCATGTCACTTGCGATCGGTGCTGTTTAATCATAATAGTAAGCTCAGTGAGTTGGCATAGGACGCACTTCTACCTAATGTGCTCGCATGTGACAGCTTACATAGAATAGTATAGACGTAAGGCAGTCCAATGATTCAACGCGCATAATCTGTTTTGTGTACCTAGGTATGCGACGCATCTATAGGAATGCTAGCCTCTCAGCTGGCACTTGTATGCACCACCCGTCGCGATTGACCACTAGGATTGACCGGAACCGTATGCGCACACTAACAGCTTGAAATTGATAGCAGTTCCTGTGTCTCATGACTAGATTGGCTGGATAGCCCGTCAATTGCTTAGGATGAACGTGGATCACTTATATCCTGAACGAACATGTCGAACAAGCACGTTACAAAGCTTTATACTGAAAAATGAGTTCGTGTCCGAAATCATACTGGTTTGATAGGCCAGAGAGTGAGCTAATACATTATAATATTAAATGATCTGGATACTGGGTGTATGTATGTTCTCAAGGCTTCTAGCATGGTCAAGGGTGAGGGGTCATTGACCATGTGCATGGATCCCGCATAAGACAAACGGCACGGACCGTGTACAGGCCACAGAATGAGCTGGTACCCCCCACTCTTAGGTATTGCGTACGACAGTACATATGTAGGATGGTTGTGGCATTTTTCGACTGGCTCGGAGGACATTTACTAGGAGGATATCAGTTGTCTTGCATATAACATTACCACTTTGAGCCATCTGCAGTAGCTCGATTCATATTATCTAGGTGTGGCTGCCAGGTGGCAGGATAGTAGCCTCCCCGCATTACCAGTACAAGTACCCCATTGACATTAGGGTTATGATGTCCGATCAGACCATCAGGCGCATTTTATCGGACTTCAGCTGAACAGAACAACTGAGCTGATAGGGGATTACTGCAATTATGATATCTTCCCCACTCATAGTAAACATAAAAAGACAAGCATGGTCTTCCAATGTGTACTTTAAGGTAATATCACGGGCCTACTGTATTAGGAGATGCCGATGGTTGTGTTGCTTGCATATATTCTGCCTATGAGGGCTCATAAACAACATCTGCCAAATTTAAATAATATCATCATATCATGTGCTTCTTCTACGTCCTGGTGCTGCTACTCACTAGAATATTAAGCCGTATCGACTGCCCCTCACACTTACCCAGTGTTGAGTGTAGGAGCCGGCAGGTCCACCCCTCTCAAACCCCCACGATATATAGAAAAAGGTGGTAAATATGAAACCCATTCTTTCAATAACCCTGCCTTGAGATTGCTATATAGGATGTCGACCAAACCATTGATGCTCGGCCCACTACCGACACGGCACTGACTGAAGACCCAGTAGAACATATAGACGACCCTTACCCACTACCCCGCATTCTCTACCACCTCGTCATTCATTCAAGGCATAAGGTCATACTGCTTACCCGTCGTGGTAGCAGAGAAATAGCTCGGTCGGTTTCTCACATAGCACTCGATCGTAGGCTTAAACAATTCCAGGCTGGTAACATCATCATCAATACGCATGTCGCTCGATCATGAAAGACAAGAATAGTCATCTCACGTACCCATTTTTGATCAGAGCTGTCCTTACAACTATCTCCTCTTCCCCATTAGTCGCTGGGATTGTGTATATAGTGCACCCGCAGCCGCTGCAGAAACATTTGACTTTCTGGCGTCCACTCAGGGTATTATTGACGATGTAGCGTTTGGCAAGCCCCTCTGGATCGTAAAGTGTGAAGTTCGGTGTGAAGTATGTTGCAGTCTTCAGCATAACAATGTTATCAGTCTATTTCATGTGATGCTGAATATTTCCCGGGAGAAAGAAGAGAAAGAGTCTATACGCACGATCTGACAAGGCCCCCCAGCTCCGAGAGCACAATCACCGCAATAGCAGCAGAAAACTGCATTTGGATTGCCTTTCACTGTAAATCCGACTCCTTTGCATAGGCACCTCCCCGTGTATGTCGAACATTGTGCATTTTCGTCGACGGGCATGGTGTCAGACAGTCTGTTACAAATGCAGTCAATGCCCCGGTCTATATCACATTTGAATCATCCCATATTAATGGCTCAATATGCGCATATTCAGCCTATATCTGATCGAAGTATCCCGCCTTTTACCATCGGCTGTGTACAGATAATACCGGGTCTCGGTAGCCCTCGGATGCCTGATAGTGAGTGATCTATTAGAAATCTGGGTCGGCGATCGACGGGCGACTGGACCTTGTCGGCTCGGACCGTGAGCCGTAGAAGGAAGGATTCCCTATGTGTCGAAGGTCCAGGATCGGATGCAGTATCATCATCCCGTTCGTCCATATTGTGACTATTATTAATATGATGCTCAGAGAATCCGAGGTCATGAGAGACTTTATCCTTGAGCAGCCCCAATCATCCCAAAGCCGAAGCTTCCGAGTATCCGAGAGTCTGAGATATAAACCTACTACTATGAGAGCTCGCTTGAACCTAACTCTCTACCTACAAACAGTCAAAAATCCAAGTCCATTTTACTGCACATCACTAAAATGACCGACCTCAAGATCTCCAAAATCGACGTCTTCCAAGTCGACCTTTCCTACTCCCACGGGACCTACCATCTCTCCGGCAATCGCGCCATCACCCGCTTCGACGCCACCTTCGTCCGCATCACCACCAACACCGGCCTTGAAGGCTGGGGCGAAAGCACCCCCTTTGACAACTACATCGCGTCCCACGCTGGCGGTATTCGCGCCGCCATTGCCGAGATCGCCCCTAAGCTTATCGGTCTTGACCCCCGCCGAGTCGACCGCCTCAACGACGCCATGGACGCTGCCCTGCTAGGCAACGAGCCCGCCAAATCCGCCATCGACATTGCCTGCTGGGACATTTTCGGCAAGTCTGTCGGACTGCCGGTGTGTGAATTGCTCGGCGGACGGACAGAGACGAAGCTCCCTGTTCTGGAGTCGATCCCTGTTGCGGACCCCGAGGGGACGCGCAAGCATGTTGCTGATGCCAGGGCGATGGGATTCACGGGCTTTTCAGTGAAGATTGGCTCGGACCCTGTGGCTAATGCTGCGAGAGTGGAAGCTGCTCTGGCTGATAAGAAACCGGGGGAGTTCTTTCTGATCGATGCTAATGGCGGGATGACTGTTGATACTGCGCTGCGGATGTTCAGGTTACTTCCTAGGGGATTGGATTTCGTGCTAGAAGCGCCATGCGCTACGTACAGGGAGAGCATTTCGCTTCGACGTCGGATCGACGTGCCGATTATCTTCGATGAGTTGGCGAATAATGAGAGCTCGGTTGTGCAATTCGTTGCGGATGATGCTGTTGACGGGATCGGACCGAAGATTTCCAAGACAGGTGGGTTGACGAGAGGTCGCAGGGTTAGGGATATTTGTCTTGCGGCGGGGTATACTATGTCTGTTCAGGATACGAGTGGTTCGGACGTGGCGTTTGCGGCCATTGTGCATCTGGGACAGACTATCCCGGAGCAGTATTTGAGATGTATCTTGGAGTGTAGGGCTATGTGTGTTGGGAAGACGGCGGATGGGCCGTTTGATGTTCATGATGGAGTGCTTACGGCGCCGACGTGTCCGGGATTAGGGGTTACGCCGAGGATGGAGGTGTTGGGGGAGCCCGTTGCTACTTTTGTTTGAGGTTATTCCTCTTCTGCTATCGATGAGTGGACTGGTATGTTTCTTTGGGTATGTTGGGTAGCAGGATGTTACGTGGCTTAACGTTGTTACGTGAGATTATGGCATATTGCTTGATTTTATTCTTCATGGCACTTCTAATGAAGGAAGATGCACTGGGTCCCTCAAAATCTCTTGCTGCATACAACAGGGGGACTACACATGAGGTACATCTTCGGGTACCTTCCGAGACAGCGTCGGGTTCCTCACCCGACATCCGACCTAGGCCGTCATGCTCTACAGGTTCCTGAGTATAACCGGTCACCCGAATCTTTACTGTCGCTTCGGTTCATGTATGCAATGTGCATGAGTGTCGTAAAAGTGCTCCCTCTGTGTGCAGATTGAGAGGTTTACTCTTTCTTCTTTATATATATATATATACTGAAAGACCTCTGGCCAGCCTTCATACTCAAACGCAGCACTGGCATATACAAAAAAGACGAGCACATCACTCTCTGGAACATTACAACATTGAGATTCATTTCCGCACACCCAACTTACGACCAACAATTGACCAATCCACAACCAACTCACGACGAACCCACTCCTCTACCCACACATTCATCCATTCCGGCTTCACTGCATCCACAGCCCGCAACTTCTCGCTGACCTGTCCCGTCAACCTTGTATCCAGCACATTCACTCGCTCAGTCTGCGACATAATCCCTTCAAAGAATTCCAACAACTTTGCAGCTGGATTTTTGGCCAATCGCTTCTGCAGCTCTTCGTCACTCATCTTCTCGCCGGTATCACCAGCCATCTCCAGATCCTGCCGGACGCGCTGCACCCACTCGGTAAAGGGGACAGTCTTGATAGTCTTTCTTGAAACCTTAAAGATAGCTTCGGCGACTACTGGACGAATTGCCTCCCAGTCTACCGGGTGCAGGTTTACTGGGTGATATACCTGGACAGATCCGGGTTCCCCGCGTCGACAAGCCACTGCCAAGTCCACTAGGACTTCAGCAAGCAGATCAACCGGTACCCAGTCGATGCGATGGAGGGCCGGTCCGAGCGTATCAGGCAAAACACCCAGGTGATAAGAGCTGAGGACGAGGCTCGGAAACCATTCGGTCTTGTTCCATACTCCCTTTGAGCGGACCGGCCCTGCTATCTGACCGACACGTGCGAACGAGGCGTGCAGTCGGCCCTGACGAGCCGCTTGCGCTAGTAACTGTTCTGCAAGGTACTTGCTATCTGCGTAGCCGTTGGGTCCGGGGGTTGTAGTTGTGATCACTTCTTCCGGGGTTAGACCGGTCTTTGTGTAGTGGCCCATAGTGGAGCTGATGGATGATAGGAAGAAGAGATGGGGTGACTGATGTGATTGGGAAGCGAAGTTGATCAAATTTACCACACCGGCGAGGTTTGGCTTGAAGGAAGACAGGCTGAGGTTGAAATTGACTGCCCAGGCGTTGTGGATGATTAGAGTGGCAATGTTTCGCAAGGTTTTGAAGACATCAGGTCCCAGGCCTAGGTCCGGCTGGGAAAGATCCGCAGTCCAGAAGCTCGCTCGAGACAGATCGGTTTTCATTCCGCTATGTTTTACGCGGTGGCTTTCCCCTGCATAGGGTGTGCGGTTGAGACAATGCACGTAGGCAACGGAAGGGGACTGTAGGAGAGTATCGAGAAGATAGCTTCCCAGGTTACCGGTCGAGCCGGTCAAAATGACCACATGGGACTTGGGCGCTTGAAACTGGCTACTGAGCTCCTGTAGTAGTTCTTCCCGCTGCTGCAGCTGGGCTTCTTTTCGCTCCTCAGCAGAAGCCTCCTCATGTTGCTGCAGGTGAAGCACTGCCTGGGTGAGCTCATCCACAGAGGGATGGAGATAAATCAGGTTTGGAGTGAGTGTTGGGAGATCAAGACCCTTCTTGAAGGCCCGAGTGGCGGTGATAGCCTGCAGGGAGTCAAGGCCCAGCTCGAAGAAATTTTGGTTATCTGTGAGATCCCACCCAGTGACGTAGTTGATTGTTCTTCTAATGTAATCCAAAAGGACTTTCGGATCGTCCACCTGGCCAGGTCCAGCAGGTTCACCGTTACTGGCTGTCTGCGATAGTTTGTCCGCATCGGCATACAAGGCATCCAATTCCGAGGTGTACAGTTCGAGTGAGGCAGCTCGCTGGATAGTTCCCTTTCCGGCGCGAAGCATCGGCTTGTCTGGCTTTGTGAACATAATGTGGGTTTTGGCCACGCGTGCATGCGCTGGACAAACTACGTTGGCTTGTTCGATACTTGGCCAGAGTTTCTCAATCATCGCGGCGCGCTCAGGTGCACTGAGTTCCTTGCCTCCAATTTCAACTAATAGAGATGCTTGGAAGCGACGTGCCCCAGCCACTAGAACTGCGGTAACTTCTGGATTGGATGCAGCGATGTGTTGTTCCATAGACACAGGATTTGTTTTCTCGCCGTTCAGAAAGACAATCACGTCATCTGCACGAGCGGCCCATCGCCACAGGTCCGGCTTACTGGGGTCCGGGTGCCGCACGAAGAGGTCTTTGGTGTGGTACTCCTTCTGATCTGGAAAGACTGTGAAGGTAAGCTGGTGCTTCTCAGTCTTCGGGCTTCGGACAATCACGAGTTCGTAGTACTGATCGGCGACGTGACGGAGCTCAGCTCCCATTCGGGGGTTGATGTGAAGATATCTCCAGTCTGTGCGAGGATCTCGGTTTATTCTGGAATAAATAGTGCTGATCATGCCCACTTCGGACGCTCCGTATAGATTCATGAGTTTGATCTTAGATGCTACGGCGTCCCCAATCGGCTGGGGAAGATCTCCACCACAGTAAACCAAGCGTTCAAGGTGCTTGCTGCAGTAGTCCAAAAGCTCCGGGCTCTGGGAGAATTCTTGGATGATGGAAGGAACACCCAAGAGAATATCAATCTGAGTCTTCTTTCTTGCCTCTACAAGGGAGGCGGCGGTAGGAAGACCGCCAGATGCCGGAAAGATGACGGTAGTGCCGACTGGAATGGTAATGAAAAGCGAATATGCCAGACCCGCAGCCTATGACGTTATTAGCTTCCTATATTTCCTGCAAATATGCCACGCGGACTTACATGGAATGGTGGCGGAACGAGGAATATCCGCTTGCCAAAGAGCCAGCTATCCTGGCTCTCATGGCCCCTTGGGGGATCCAGAACCGTCGTATGCATATGCTTGCACGCGGTGTCATGGGTCCAGAAGATCGGCTTTGGAATTCCTGTGGAGCCAGATGTATGACTGAAGAGTTAGTCTTCGATCACTGCACAGACGATCAGGGACGTACATTACGGCGAGAACCTCCCCTGCAGCTTCCGGGTAAGTCTTAGAGAATTCAAAATGGGCATATTCTTTGCTTATCAGCTCATCGACACTAGGCACCTCCAGTATATCCAGCGTTTGTCCTTCCAGGATGGCCTTCACTGGCGGTGGATGGGGCACTGGGGTGACTAGCTTAGTGCAACTGAGGCGATTGAACAGGCTACTATGAGCAGCCACGCTATTCCTTGGGGAGGTGAGAAACATCTTCGAGGGTACAGAGTCAGCTTGACTATTTCAAAGTTCTAAGTCATATCACATACGCGATATCCTGCCTTCACAGCACCCATTACCAAGGCCGGGTACCGCAGGTCATTAGGTCCCACATAAGCGAGGGTTTCACCGTCACCGGGTCCCAGCTTCTCCGTTAGCCACCAGGCAATGCCGTTAATGGCATTTGCAAATGCTTTGAATGTGATGGGCCGGTATCCATCATCATAGCTCATCAGAGAGACTGGGTATTCAGCATAGATGGCGTCGGGTTTGAACTTGGCGTAGTGGTCAACGATGTGAGGGAGCAGCTGCGTCCGCGGATCAAACTGAGAGGCATCTTGGACAGTCATGGTCAAAACCACTTTTGGTTAGCAGTGTATTTGAGATCTAATTGAGGTGCGCAGCTTGTAGTGTTTATGTAGTGTTGTTGAGTGAAAGAGTAGTCGGCTTAGCTGGGACCATGTGGCCGAGGGGCCCGCACCTGCTTCAACCCAAGCAAGCAGGACCAGCTTATGCTTAGCGGAGCATACGGATAACCAGTGGAGCTGCACGTAGGAAGGTTTGTGGAGTACTTTGTACCCCTCTGGTATGTGGGGTGGAGATAGATAATGGCAGGCCAACGGTGTGAGGATATATCAACAGAACCAATAAGCTGTAGCCCCATTAAGCTCGACAGCCTCATCGGATCATATCTGCCCCATTGAGCGAAGGAATAAGTGATATGGCATTTGGGGGCCAATCTGGTCAGTCAGCGCTAGCAATAAAGCCAAACGGCTGAGTGGTAATGATCCAAACTTAGGCTCTGCTCTAACCACATCAATCAAGCCCTAGTCGCCCGAAGAGCCGCTAAAAGTGGATTTTGAGCCGATTCCTATGTCTTTTGTAGCCTTGCGAAACTTGACGCAAATACGATTGGATCGTTCGCCTGGTTCAAGTTGACCAACATCTCCATTTCTTCTTTGGGGTTAGTTATGAACAGCAAGGTGGATAGCGTGCCCCGTCCAGCTCGGTCGGAGGTAGGACTCATCCCACGATGGGTATCTGCAGAGGAAATCGATGCATGCCCTCACATCCGAGGTCTCTCGTTAATATCTCAACTCATAGACAACATATATTCTTGTCCAATTATTAAGCATTAGAAGGTGGAATATATATATCGACGGTAATATATAGTCTGGAAATATGAAGAAAGGTCCAAATCAATGCACCGAAAAGTGATGCTCCACCACAATCTGCCCCGGTTTGATATCTGCACCTGAACGACTGCCCAAGGTCACCATACGCAAGACATCTTCCTCACTTCTCGACGCCTCCATCCACGGAAATTTCGATTCATTATGCGTGGACCCGAGGCCCGGTCGCAGTTGGCTGGCCCTGTGGCCCGTTCCGGTATGCAGAGATTCGCCCGTCTGACTGCGCTTCCTCAGAACGCGACGCCAAAGAAATTTCGTTAGCGGCCGATAGGTAGGCAAACAGGCTGCTATGAGGTAAATACCACCCTCAATCTCAGCCCAGACCACCAGTGTCGAGGCCGCCCAGGTTACATCCCCTTGGACGTCAGTCACGTAGAATTCTCGGAATCGGATAATGGAAGAAACCATGCCCCTATTGTTTGGGCAAAGTTAGTGTCTCTCTCTTCAGAATTAGGATAATCCAAGAAGGAGAAAGAAATGTCTAGACATACACACTACCCATCAGGAAAGTTACCCAAATACCCAGTTTGAGGCGACTCGAGGCATGCAGATTCCAAACCACCGGCATCGGCAATATCAACATGACGACATCCGTCAATATGTGCGCGAATCCTCCCCAGCGCAGCCACGCATTAATGTCAATGCAGTTTCCGTGGAACGTCCAGTAGTAGCTTAGTGGTCGGCAGGAAACAACACCAGCGATAGTGACCACAAGCCAATTGATGATGATGACTGCTCCGGTGCCGTAGCATATCTTTCGGAGCATTTTATCGGTGAAAATGTTCAGATAGAGGTGCAGGATAGCCAATTTTGGAGGTACGACGGTGGCGAAGTAGAGGAGCGGAGTGGTGATGAGGAACTTGGTCGCCGTCACCAGCATCTCAGGATCGATCTGGCGGACGGTTTCTTGATGCAGGCCGATTCCGCCGTAGATCACGGCAGCTGTCGGGAAGTGTGAGTTAGGTTCGTCATCTGACTAGGAGACTAGGATATCAAGGCCTACCTATTGTGCAGCTCGCATCGGCAATGCAGAGGATAAGGCCCACAACCATGAGAGCATCATCCCAGCCGAACTTCAGCCGTTCAACAAATTTAGAAGTAAAGCGCATAACCACGCATACCACTTCCAGGACTATAAACACAATTGAAACGGTGATGATTAGATGTTGTTTGGATTGATGAAGCTGCTCTTCCGAATACTCGTCCATGCTGGCGAACTTGCGAGACAACAACCACACCTCAGTGGAAGTAAGGGATATTGAAGGCTGAACCTTCAGTGTATCGCACTAACTGAGTGGTAGGAAATATTATGAGAATCGTCGCTCGGTCTTTGAAATCCGGTTAAGTCGCTCTCGTTCATCTTGATATAAGCTCGGCGAGGTCCGTATACTCCACACGGAATAACCATCCCCTGCCATTCGGGACAAGCGACTCGCAAATAGGGGCTGGAAAATAAAGCGACTCCCCGTAGAGAGCTATAAAGAGAACCCCAAGAACTGGTGGCAAGTGCACTCGGCAAGCATAATGAGAGCGGGTCTCCTGCATTTAAACAGTAGTAGGAATGCTGATCTGATCGCTCTGCAGGGCCCAGGCAGCGTTTAGCACCATGAATGGAACGGTAAATTAGCACTTCTGCAGGTTCAGACACACAACATCTTTACTTTGCAGCCTATGGCTAAGCCAAAAGGCCTTGGAGTGGGCCATTTCGTCTTTCGGAGAAATCTGATCTCGATTGCCCAACCGAGGACTAGCGCTAGACTATTGAATCTAGTAAGCCGCAAGAGTAGACAAAGCGTGGTAAGCATAGTCTGTTCAGTCTGGACGTAGAAGATTTCCGGTTCCGTTATAATACTACTAGTCAAGGATCACAGTAATGACAGGTAGATTAGTACACGTTTAAGATGAGTGGATGCTGACTTCTCAGTTCATTTGGGAGCAAGAACAGAACCCATAGCTTACCGGTAGAGCCTCGTTTGCCAAGGTTGAAGCCCTACTCCATCAAGCGCGGCCAAGATGCTTGTTCTTTGTTTCCGTATAGGGAAACAACACTCAGGAGAGTTCTCGGCACTCTCTTTGATCCTGCAGCGCCGAATACAGCCATGGCCTGAATCTCCTATATACTTTCTGATCACTATCCTAGAGCTATTCCCGTCTCTCTGGGGTAAACTTAAATTGGCGAACACCGGCACACACTTGAGGTTTACCTTGGAGTATCTACTATCTTTCGACGAATACGTAGAGTTTAGATAATATAGTATTATCATTTTCCATTCATATATAACATAGGTACAAGCCAGTGAGGCCAAAAATAAAATAGTCATCATGATAGTATTACCTTTCACATTTCTGTAGTGTCAGAGAATACCGAATCCGGACACATGTACTTCTCAATCTACTGCTATTTGAATGCTCATGTCAATAGTGAGTATGAACACTTTCTAGTACCAGCAAAGCCTCAACAGCAGGCCCTAGCACTTCACAATATAGTTCTCTTTCGATAGTTCGCTGGATGATTGGCATTCGGAATCATGGTTACTTCCCTGTAAACGCTAGGGTTTACTAATGAGGAACCACAAAAAACACTTTAGGACTTTATAAAGTAGGGACTGCTGTTCACTAAACTTCCACTAATGCTTGGCCTCCAAACATTCAGCCTAACGATACCAACCACAGCATGTTTGCCAGCTGTTCACCACCAATACTAACTATTCTGACTTTAATGCATGTTGTCTATGGACCCATGATTCGGACCTGCTCTGAGAAATTTCCGACCACAACTCACACCGTATTATCAAGTCTGTCCAACCCCAACATCCAAACCATGAGCAGATCCATCCGAAGATTGTCCACCCACACCAGCACCCTCACTTCCCCCTTTCACCTCATTAGTCGGCGCCGTACCCAACGCCCTAATCTCCTCCCGCAGCGCATCTAGACGACAGGACACGATTTCATCATTCCTATCATCATAAACAAGATCAAGGTCCTCGTAATCGAGATCAAAAGAAACCGCCCCACCCTTCAAGCGCACTCTCGTCGTCAAAGCAATAGTGGTAGCAATATGCATGACTTCTCTGACACGGACGATATAACAGCCTTCTCTGCGCTTGCCTATATCCCAAGCTATGGCATCTTCGTTCTCCCGTAGTGGCAGTGTCAGATCGAATATGATCTTAGCGAAAGGGGGCAGTTTCATCATCTCCTGCCTCCACATCTTGGAGAGGGGTTGCAAATCGAGATTTCGTTCTTCAGGCTCAACCATAGAGCTGTAATTATCAGTGTGAATGGACGGTGACTGGGTGCATAATTCGAGGATGTCGGCTTTTTCGAGCGGGCGTAGTAGGGGTAGTCTTGCTTCGCGCAGGGAAGGGGGTGGTTTTTGGTCAGTTTGTAGTTCGGATAGGTCTTCGCTGATGCAGAATTCGTGGGGCACCGAGGAGGGGAACATGGACTCTGCTGCTGGCATTTTTGAGCTCTTGGTGAGATATAGTCAGGGAGTAGTTGAGTTGAGCTGAGGATGTGGTGGGAAGAGTTGGATAATTCTGATGGGGAAAGCGCGACTGGTGTTTATCTATGTGGCTGAGAATGACTGTATTCACTAACAATCTCGAGGGAAGTCTACGGGATACCCTTAACGGGTATTATTCATTGCAGCTGCTATTCACTTACCGCATGGTACTCTTTAGAACGTCATCGTGAAGTCGCAGCGCCGACTTTGAGACATTCCTGACAAATACAAGCCTATTGCTGTTATCTCATAATACTTGAACACAGTTTGGAAACATACAGCAAGCAGCAACCATAAGGACTGCACCTAAGAGGCTGAGGAAGACACAAACGCCGAGGTAAATTCCCGTCCTCTCCATTACTTCCGCGTAATCACTGGGGAGATAACCGCATGGCCTTGGCGGAGTCTACGGTCAGTCGAACCAATCTATTTCCATCCCTCCATACGGTAGTGAACATCGTTCTGTCTTATACTATAAAAAAAAGTTTTCACCGGTAGAGATATGGAGCCGACGCTCTTCCCTTTATCATATTAAATTAGATGGATGTGACCTGCTATTCAAACGGCTTACCTTTTACGCTCAAGATAAGGGTACATCTAGTCAAGCCTTGACCCTAAGTCGCGACGTGACTTATGTAGTCCGTAAATGTATATGCCAAAGCCGATCAACCAGCCAACGCACAGGAAAGTTCGACGGTGAAATGCTCTGCGGCAGATACAGATACCAATCATTTTCGTTCACCAGGCTCATAGTACGAGTCAGCGCAGTGCACTCATAATAGAACGGATAGAAGCCACTGTCCTCCCAGTCAATGATTCCAGTGACAATATATTGGCCGCTAGAACCGGGATCCTGCTTCACCATTACATTATCAGTTCGCACATCGCCATGGGTGAACACCGATTCATGTGCCAGTGTTGAGGTGTCATGTTCCAGGAAAGAGCGCAGAAGTCCAACATAAGTGGCACTTCCATGATGACGAGCCGAAAATTGTAGATCACTGTACTCTTTTGTTGTCATAATGCCTTTGAACAGGGCGCATTCGTCGACCGTTAGCTCCTTGACTCCCTCTCCACAAGTTCCACCAAGCGTACTAGTTCCCTCTTTCTGTCGAATCTGTCTTAGACTGCAAATATATCATCAAGCTGGCGCTGGATTGAAAGCTTGTTCTCATGTGACAGGTTAGGCCATGCTTGGGTCAAAGTCATGTCGGGAACATATGACATGAATATCACACGAAAAGGGCCAAATGCTACCAGCCCATGGGGCCTCGGAGCAGGAATTTGGGCGCCCGCTTCTCAAGAAATTGCATGCTAGTGTACTCCGTGTAATCCGTATTCCCAGTTATGACCTTGGTAATAACGTTTTCGTTGCACTTAACCACCATGCCTCTTACAGGACTCTGCCAGAGTTGTGGTGAGTTCCAAAGCAGCGTTCTCAAGGATGATACGAGCGATTTCTCATCATCGAGCGAAAATTGATCCGCGTCCGGTCGTGAACATCCTGCAAGCAAAGCAATAACTTCATCGGATAACGGATAAATGACTGTGGCAGTCTCTGCACGGTCGAGGTGACGTTCTCTGAACTCAGGCGCCTTCACCTCATGTTCTTGTTTCTCCTTTAATGCGGCTTTTGGCTCCAAGCGCCATTGTAATTCGGCGAGTATAGTTCTTCGGGAAGTTTGATAGCAGGTTGGCTTCCGGGTCACGTCGCAGGTCGTCTTGAAGACCGCTTAATACACGGCGATTGATAAGCCCGGCATAAGACAGCTGACTGTCAAGGACATTTTGATGTTCACGGAGGTAAGCCTCAGAGAACATTGACATCAAGTCCGCCGCTGGGTCCTTCTCCAGAGTGGCCTGGAACTCGAGCATCAACTCCCTGTTCCAGTGGGCCGCGTCAGCGTGGGATAGAGAGATGAGCACTGATTCACTGCCCATTTTGGCTGAATATAACGAAGTGCTGTAAGTGATGAAGTCGCAAAGAAGACAGAGGAACTGGGTCACGGAGCTTAATATAGCGAGGGACGTAGGCGCGGCCTGTGCGAACAGGCACCGACGTAGTTTCCATCCAAAGCGGCCACGTGCCCGGCTCGGGCATCCATATAATGCCATACAAGAGACAACTTCAATGTTCTACAAACTGTGATGTCTACTAGTGATGATATTGGTCTTACTATGTTTAATTTTCCACGACTTGGCTTGACTTGTGCTGTGCCTGTAGTCAGTCCGCATGCAGTAATATAATTAGTACAAAAGTGGCCGAAGGAGCCTAGTTGCTCAGGGCAGATTCCGCCATAATGTCTACCAGAACCTACAGCTTACCCAGACGAGAGAAGGCTAACTGGTTACAGTGTCTTGGTATCCACGCAGGTTAAAGTACAGTACTATTTCTGTCGCAAGTATTCCGAATGAATATCCTCCCACAATGCCTCATACAAAACACCATATCTACAGATTCCACAATCTCAAAACCCCATCCGCGTCCGGAACGACCAGCAGCTGAGCATCACTCGAAACAGCCACCCTTCCCTCAGGGCTCGTGTCAATTTTATCCCCCGCACCTCTCGTAAACTGCTGCTTAAGATTACTTTGGAAATCATACGTCTCCACCGTCCCCTCCTGGGTCCGGAACACCAACTTTCTTCCCTCATTAACGAACTGCACGCTTTGAATCCCTGCAAAGCTCCGCATCACGGGATCCTCAAACGCCAGACGCCATTGCATCTGTTCGTCGCCGGTCAACGGATCCCAAAGACGCACTGTGCCGCTGTCCCCTCCTGCGGCAATCACCGTACCGTCAGGGCTCCAAGCTAAGGTGCGTGCCCAGTGGCGGAATCCGTCGAAGCGAGAGACGGACTGTCCTGTTTGAAGGTCGTAGACATGGATATGGGTTCTAGGGCTTCCCTGGCTGACAGCGAGGTACTTGCTATCGGGAGAGAAGGCGCCGCTCCAGAGCTGACAGTCCCCGAAACCAAACACGTGGACACAGTCTCCGGAGTTGGCATTCCAAACTCGCGCAGTGCCATCCCATGCGATGGACGCGACTAGAGTATTGTCTGGACTCATCCCGGCCCACATGATAGAGTCTGTGTGGCCGAGCAATCGGTGTCGAAGGGACCGGCTCTGCATGTCCCAGAGATTGACACATGGGAGGAGAGCAGGGTCACGAAGTCCGTGCTGGGTTGTTTCGTTCTGACCGAGATAGATCATAGTCTTGCCATCTGGGCTGAATGCGGGGCTACCGAAGGAGGCCAATTCGCCTTGAAGACGGAGTTTGCTTTCTTGTTCGTGTAGACTGACGGCGTTTCGGAGAGCCTTTTTCATGGCCTGTTCAATGGCCCCCATGGCTTTTTCATCACGTTTCCAGCCGTAGTTGGACACTAGGTCTGATATAAGGGGCTGTAGAGTTCTGCTCGTGAGGGTGTCGACGTCAACTGGTCTGTCTTCCTTTTGTCGGAGTCTCCCGCGCTCGTCCAGCTCCCATAGGACGATCACCGCGAAATCATATCCCTCATGGCGGTAACCCTCTCCAGCACTCTCTTCCAGATCCTCGCCTGTCGAAACCAGGACGTACCGGGTGCCTTCTGATCCCACGCTATTGATCATTTTCGGAGCAAACTCCACCTGCTCCACGGCACACGTATGTCCTCTCAACACATCAACACGTTCCTGCGTCTCTGCATTGAAGATATGGATCTCCCTGTCAATACCCACAGCAATAATCTTACTGTCAGGACTAAGAGCAAGCGCGTTTGCCTTCCCCTCTAGCTGAACTTTTGCTGTTTCCTGGCCCCAGTATTTGGGATAACCAGGCGCCCAGGTGGCAGGCTCCCCAGTGGAAGAGCAGAAGTCATGCTCAAGGGCATAGACGTAGTTTTCGAGAAACGTGCTTTGGTTCATGCACCTCATTTTTCCAGGCGACAATAGTTGATGTGGAGATTGGTATCTGTCTTTGGAGGGAATGAATAAGCTTTATAGTCAACAAGAGAAACTCGGTGAGGTAGAGTGAACTGAGTCGGTGAATGAACGACTACGAGGCTGTGCTGGTAGCTTTAGATAAGACAGCAACATTGCGAAAGCCTTGTGAGCCTCACGTCAACTAACTAGTTAGCTCCACCCCACCATGGAGTAGGATTTCTCCGGGCAATGCCACAATTTGTGTAGCCATTCAGATGCTGGGGTCCGGAGATCATGACAACTTGGCGAGTGAGTCAGTCTATAGTTCAATTGGGGCTGCAGGCAACAAGCAATTCCGGATCGGCAGGCCCCACTTGGAAGTTGATACTATGCATTGATAGCTGGTAAGTGGCCAGTCGGGGCACGTGCAGGACATAAATGGAACAAATTGTTAGTAGGAGAAATTGGTAAGCAGTGTCTAGCATTTCTAACTAGATGGTATGTGAAGGTAGTGTTCGATTAGTAACATGTTCTATCCTATGCCATTGTGGCGACATGGCTGTCAATCAATCAGCTCAGCAATCTAGATCTGGAACCCATGTAATCTGAAGGTATCATATTCAATAGGGTGGGAACTTTGTCTATAGTGGCAGCTACTACATAAAGCCCCAGTCCGATTAACTGATCGACTTATAGCTCCATAATGCATGTGGGTTGTAGATAAGATCGATATCCAATTATAGATTCAAAGATGTGACATGTACAATTTGCAATCAGTCATAATCACTTTTCATCCAAATCTAGCAACCAATCCACCGCATTATATCCAGAGTGAAGAGTGTATCCAACCCCATAAAGAAAACTGGCAAAAGTAACAGCAGATGTGAAAAGAACAAATACACCAGTGATCAAGGCCAGCCCAATCACGTCTAGATATATAAACAAGAATCAACCACACTCGTCAACCATTTTACTCCTTCTTCTCCTCCTTTGCCTCAGCAGCCTCCTTCTTAGGCTCTTCCTTCTCCTCCTTGACCTCCTCAACCTTCTTCTCCTGTCCATTATGAGGATGCAAGTAATCCGACTCGGACAGACTCATCTTCCTCTTCCTCAACCGGTCCTCCTCGGCAGCAACCATATCCTTCCAGAGATCACCCGTGTGCTCCTGCTCAGCATTCTTCCTCTCCTCAGCAGCCTGCCTCTCGGCCTTCACCTTATCCTGCAACAAGCCACGACCCTTCCTCTGATCCTGGATCTCAAACGCCGCGCTAGCCACCAACACAGCGAGGGTCAAGCCCTGGGCGTAGACTCTGGCCTGGACCAACTTCTGTGATCCACTAAGGTGCTTATTCCGGTTGACCATGGCGAAACTACCGATCATACTAGCCACCCACGTGGCACCGACAATCTTGTACTTCTCGCGGCGGGCCCACTGAAGCGCGCGATCGAGCGTGGACAGCTGCGACAATTCCTCCTGGCGGAGACGCTCCTCGCGGTTCTCGTACCATTGGCGACTGGCGTTGCGCTGGGCTTCGAAGCTGCGGGAGGCGTGGTCGGCGCTGATGATACCCACGAAGGTACCGGAGGAGGTCACGAGGAAGGATTTCATGGGGAGGGTGAGGTTGCGGATGGTTTGGTAGCGCCTGGTGGCGGCGAGGACACCTGCTGCGCCGCCTACCAGACCGATAAGTCCACCGATAGTACCGCCCTTGACGACCTCGCTGGAGAAGTACTGTGTTAGTTACATGGTTCGAAAATTGGGTGGCGGGGAGGGCGGAAGTACCGGTAGTGGGCATCTTCTTCTTCTTTGGTGAGGATCTTCATTGTGATGGTATTATGTGAAGAAGCTGTATGTAATTGATTGCAATGGAGGTAGATATGTATGTATTAGGTGCTTTTTTGTGGGGGGGAGGGAGAGAGAATTGAAGAAGGGAAGAAAAGCAGAGGGAGAATGATGCTAGAAATACGTGCAAAGCCCGGGTGACGTACGATCTGGACGCTCGGGGTCTGCGGCGGAGACTCGGACCATCCGGCGTTTGCCCGGGATCCTTGATAGCGTCGCCGAATTGCAACCGTTTTTACTGCTTTGGTTCTACTTTGTAAGCTGCGTCTCGCGCGAGAACGCCCGACCGTTTATCTAGTGCCTTCCCATTCGCTATGGCATGATCCAATAATACACATTCCGCCCTGCGCCGCCTCCCGAAAAATCTACGAAATAAAACCTGACATACATATGAGATCGAAAAAGGAAATAGAACAAGAAAGGTACAGCCAGAAGAATAAAGAATTAATAATTGAAGGAATGAAAATTCTTCAACGACGGGATCCCTTGCTCGCCGCAATCTGCCGCGCCCGCATCTTACGGAAGCGATCCTCGCCGCTCGCTCCCAGAGGTCGCGCAAACTTGCTCTCCTGTACCATCGTCGGTCGCGGCACCACCGTATAACTCGTGTGAGTCATGTCAGCGCGCGCGCGATTCGCCAGACGAGGAGGCAGTAGCTCACGGGCACGAGCCTCTGCAGCAGTGGCCTGTACCGATTGAGGGCGTGTCGTGCTCAGTTTACTGTTCCAGTCAGTGATACATTCGAGGTAGTAGGGTCTGAGTAAAGCATGAACATACGTAGGATCAAAGGCAGCCTCCTGGTATACCCTCTTCGAGTAATCATCGCTGCGCTGGAGGATCGGGCGCGTCCACTCAGCCAGCAGGCGCTCCGCCATGCGCTTGATGCCGGGCTCTGGACGCTTGCTCCGCGTGTAGAAGACAATGACCTTGCCGATACCACTGGCAACCAGAGCCTCCTTGTTGATCGGCAGCTTGCCCAGCGCAGTCATCAGATCCCGCTGAATGTTGTACGCCGGCAGGGAACCATCATCCAAGGGCTCCAGGAAGAACTTGACCGCTTCCAGCAGGTTGATTTCGGGGTCGACCAGACTGTTGACGTATTGGTTGCGGTTGAGCAGCGAGACCACCTCAGGAAGCATCTTCAGCTTGTGCATGGCAGGCTTGCCCTCGCGACGGTTGATAGCGTCCATCTGCGCAGCGTGGGTCATGCGCTTGCGCATATCTTCGATTTCAGCATCGGCCATTTGTTCCAGGTCCTGTTGGAGTCAGCCGTCACCCAGCGAAGTGATAGAAGTGAACATACAATGCCATCAGCCTTTCTAAACCGTCTCTTGGTCGGCTTCTTCAACGCCTCATCCATCGCGCGATCAAGCGCTCTCCGCCGTCCTAAACATAGCAATTAGCATCATCCATGCCATCCTCAGCAGTAAGAAACATACTCGTAGCCGGATCCAACAACTCCTCTTCCGCAATCTCTGCCTCCTTCTTCTTCCTCCTCCGACTAGCCTTCTCCTCATCACTCGCGCCTCCATCCTCCAACTCCCTCATCCTCCGACTCTTCTTCTCGCGACGTCCCTCTCTCTTCCTCTTCGAGCGCTCTTCTTCCCCGCCCTCAGTACGCTTCCGCTTATGCCGTCCGATCAACTTCAAGTTATCCTCGTCAATCGCCAGCTGCGGCCGGTCTTCGATGTCGACATTCTCGGGATCAAAGTCCTCGAACTGGGCTTCATCGACTTCCGAAAGAATGGATTCGTCGTCGGAGATCTTGTCATCGTCGTCATCGTCATCATTATCGCCACCATTGTCTTGCGCGGCCTCTTCTTCTCCTTGGTCTTGTTCTTGTTCTTGTTGCTCTTCGGCTTCTGGCTCTGCCTCCGCCTCTACCTCCTTAGCGGGTTCTTCATCCGAAACGGCGTCGCCGCCGGGCGTCGGGGGCGCTTCCTGCTGTTGTTCTTGTTCATCCACTTCAGCGGCGGGCTTGAGCTCGGGCTCGGGACTGCGCGGTTCGGACATGATTGTGTCTTGTGAAATGGAAATTGTGGGTGGGTTGGGTGAATATGTTAGTTTCTCCCCTGATGAGGATTGGTCGGGGTCGGCTAGACCAGGTTTCGTGAAGCGTAGATGGGATAGATCGATTCTCAAGACCTTATTTGCCGGGATTCCAGTTCTGTTTGTACACTTTAAATGCTTAGGCGACTTATTTCTCAGGTGATAATGAAAGTGAAGAGAAAGAAAAGATGAGAGAGAGAGAAAAAGCGAAAAGAAATGGCAGGTTTAAGTGAGTAGTAACACCGAGCAACCGCGCAAGAAGTTGAAGCAAGCAAGACCCAAAGCAAGCAGATTCCGCCTCCGCGGTGGTCTGTGCGCGGCAGAATCGAAACCCATTCACTCAGTCATTAACTAGTGAGTTATTCAACCCATTCATCATTTCTTAAACATACATCTATCTGTCTCCCCATTGACCTTTTTACCCATAAACCACTATCACAATGTTCGCTCCAGGTGAGATACTTTTAAGATTGATGAAATGTTTGCATTATGCTAATTGTTACCAGGCCAGGAACAGCTCTCCAAGGAGGAGATCAGAGTATTTCACCCAATTCCTCTTCATCGTCATCATCGACCCCGAGCAGAACATATCATACTGACATTCTATTTTTCTTCCTTTCTAGGCCGGTGAGGTCCAGGCTAACCAGACCATCCGCATGGCTGTCTCCGGTGGCATCCTGCTTTACCTTTGTGAGTTCTTCGCCTGCCCCGGAATTCTGTTCTGCGAACTAACAAATGATTCAGCTCCCTTCGCCATCGACTTCGTTAAGAAGTTCCTGTAATCGCGTGTCGACTACTTTTGTTTTCCTCTTTACAACACACAATGCATACAAGGGATAGGAAGGGCATCGCATAATGTATTATATTGTACATCTCGAGTTGCAGAAATGAATATGAATCTCAAATGACCAGCTGTCACGGTTACTTTTTATGCTCTATTAAACCACGTCTCGTGTGCAAGACGTGCGGATACCAGCTCCTATAAACTCCATGCTCCAAACAGCACAAGCCAAACAACCAGACAGTCCCTCAATTCATGATATGATGGAATCGCAACAAGCATCAACAGCATCAGTGGTTCACGGCTCCCCCGGGAAGCTTCTGTGCCTCCTCAAAGTCCTTCCTCACTGCTTCGAGTTCCTTCTGCAAGTGTTGGATTTGCGTGTGGTAGTCATCCAATATCTAGACATCATTAGCATATGTAGTAACCATGACTGGAGGTAAGTTACATACCTTCTTGGCCGTCTTCATCGTCTGCTCGTCCAGCTCGTCGTCCGCCTGCGCCGCCGCGCTGGGTCCGGCCCGCTCCATCTCCTGCTGTAGACGTCGCGAGTGCTCCCGGATTGCCAGCATGCGCGCCCAGATCTCCTCCGCTCGTCCGTTCAGTGACGGGTCGAAGACAGACCGCTCCAGCTGGCTGAGCTTCTTCTTGAGCTCCTCCTCCGCGTCATCCATGGCGTAACCGCGATTCCGCAGCACCTGTGTCTTGGCCGCAAGCGCCAGACACCGCTTGCTGAGGACGAGATGTTTCCGGCGGCAGTCGGCAATCTTGACCGAAATCTTCAGGTCGTGCCGAGACAGCAGATCCGACAGGCAGTTGTTGATCTCGTGGAGTCGCGTCTGCATCATGGTAAGGAAATCCTTCTGGCGCTGCGCGCGCTTGCCCAGCTCGAAAAAGCCCTTGACGAGCACAGGAACATATCCCGAATCGGGCCGCTTCCGCAGCGCATCCTCCCATTTTGTGTCATCGTCCTCCGGACCCGGCTGGTAGAAAGGCGCCATTTCTTCGCCGACATTGTTATACAAGTACGCGCGGAAGGGAGAGGAACGGCTGGACGCATCCCACTTGTCCTTTACGATCTGAATCTGCATCGGTACGGTGCGGTGGACTACAACCATTAGTACGTCTAACATAAAACATGAAGAATCATTCTCAACATACCTCCGGTAACTGCACGGCCCGGTTCCCACAGACTCGAACCGAGCTGTGCCGTCGACTGACCCATCTGAGTCTGGCCCAGTTGGGGCTGCTGCTGTTGCTGTGCCGGTTGCTGTTGCTGCTGCTGTCCTCCTAGTAGAGAACCTCCAAACAGACTCGGTTGTTGCTGCTGTTGTTGAGGCTGCTGCGTCTGACCCAACCCACCGAACAGACCACCACCCTGCTGCTGCGGTGCCTGCGACTGCTGTTGCTGACCGAACAACCCTCCTCCACCCCCTCCAAGGGGTTTTTGCCCGAACAAGCTCCCTCCAGTGGTCTGCTGTTGTTGCTGCTGGGGCTGTTGCGTCTGCCCCAGTCCTCCGAAAAGACCACCACCGGCTGGCTTCTGCTGAGTCGCGGTTTGGCCGAACAGTCCGCCGGATGGCTGCTGAGTCTGCGTGTTTGCGGCGCCGCCGAAGAGACCTCCTCCCGACGGTTGCTGAGTCTGCGTCGCACCTCCGAACAATCCGCCCGTGGTGTTCTGCTGCGTAGTGTTTGTCGTCGAGGTATTTCCGAAGAGGCCACCACCTCCGCCGAAGGGACTGGGCTTATTTGCGGTGTTGTTGGCTTGTCCAAAGAGGCCGCCGCCCGTGGACGGGGCCGCAGCTTGACCGAATAGAGACATTGCGAGTTGCGTTGTGCTTAGGTTAAATGGCGAGGAAGATAAGAGGCGATATTGAGAACAACACGGTAATGGAAGGAATAATTGCAATAAATAAGGTCGGTCACTCCGCAACGAAGGCGCAATAACACCCAATTGAACCCAAGTCGGTAAATACCGATTTTCTATTGAATGTCAACAATGTAAGAATAAGCAGGTCCAATGATGCGACTAGTCCACAACACACAACCAAGTTCAATAAGGGAATAAAGGGGATACCCACAGACAAGCAGCAGAAATAGAAGCGCAGTGCGCGGCATCAACAACAGCCGGGCAATGCTGGCGTGATGTCCATCGGGAAGCTTTGTTTTTCGCACGGTTACGGTCACGTGTGGAGCTCCCTCATGCCTGAGGCAAGGAACAGCCAGCTACCTATTTATGCCTGATAATTCCGGCGACCAGCAGATTACCTAACCCAGCCATCTCAACCAATCAGCAACGAGCAAAAACCACTCCTTCCAAACTCGCAGCTTCACCTTCCACTCGGACCCGGCGAACCATCTCCATCGATTCGATCCCCCTCTCCTCGACTTTTCCCCCCAGATCCGGTCCATTGAGTCCTACGCCCAGCGGTCACCATGGCGTCCAGAGAGCCCCAGTACGTTGAAATCCTGCCAATCCCCCAACCGGCCACTTCCACGGGTTACCCTTGACTACTACACCACCACGACATATAATACGACACATACATACATACATATACGCAACGCAATTGAACAATGACCATCTCGTTCTAACGGAAATGACTACCTCAGGTTTAACCAGCAGGTGCTGGTCGATACGACCCCCATGCCCGATCACATCCCCAAGGTGGAGGAGATCGGTGCTACGTCGGCGCCGCTGTACAGCGCGGCCTACTTTATCGGAGACCGCTGCAAGCCCTACAACGACGACTTCATGAAGTGCAAGGACGAGTCGAACGGGCGCGGAGAGCTGGACTGTCTGAAGGAGGGTAGAAAGGTGACGCGCTGTGCGGCTAGCGTGTATGTTTCCATGCTCTGTTCCGTTGGCTTTCAAAGGGCCATTGAGCGATGAATTACCGCAGAAGGAATACTGATTCAATGGATCTGCAGAATCAAGGACATCAACACCCACTGCCTGAAGTCGTTCACCGCTCACTGGGAGTGTCTCGAGAACAACAACCACAAGCTCTGGGAGTGCCGTGCGCAGGAGATGAAGCTGAACAGCTGTGTTTTTGAGAAGCTGGTGCGTATACCTTCACCATACACATTTGTGTTTAAATTCTGGTCTGTATACTACAAAACAATACTAATTGACTGGTATAGGGCCTGAAGAAGGAAATCCCCGGAACTCCCGAGAACGTCGTCCCCGTGCACTTGCGCCCCAAGCAGATCTACTCCGACTGGCCTGGTCGGCAATATTAAAGAAATACAAAATGAAATATTTTGAGGGGAGCATATATCATTGTGTGTTTTTCTTAACTGAACCACTACTACTAACTTAACGTTGTCTTTTGTATTCCGGTGTTTTCCTTTTGTTTTTCTCTTCCCGTCTCTCTGGTTGACGTCTGTTTGTGTATATATTAGCATCAGGAATGTCATTGGTTCCGAGTCATCATTAGTATCATATGGTGGTAGATCTTAGTGGTTATCTGTAGACTGGTAGTGGTAAGTATAGTAGATAGTATGAATGGTATCAGATGATGATAATGATGCATACACTATAATCCAGGCTCCAGATCTATAGACTGTAAATCACCTAGAATACAAAAGTGTACAACCAGAACACCGCAGGAATATGCAGACAGCTAACCACTGCAATGAAGTACAACACCTCAAAGAGAAGTAGAGAAGTAGACAAACAACCTCTAATAATCAACCTGACACAATAACAAAAGAAAGAATAATAATAAAAGAAAGAGGTATAGGTAGAGGTATAATAAGTAGAAGTAAAGATAAGAAAGAGAAGAGAAGAAAAAGGTATATATGTATATGTACCAGAAAGGACAAAAGAAAGTAATAAATAATGGTGATGAAATCGGTGCATAAAGAACCTCACGGGGCCTTATCACCAGACGAAGAAGATGATGATGAAGACGTAGGAGACGCGGACACCACCCTCCTAACCCTCCTAAACAGCATCAAGAATACCAACCTCGTCTTCACCTCCGCCCAACCCACCTTCAACTTCTCCTCTAACCTGCGATCTCCCCGCAGTCTCATCCAGATCAGAAGCATACCGAGCAAAGCCAAATCAACCATGATCTGCCGTGCAGCGACCCAAACCAACCACTTCAGCCAGGCCCATAGTCCTGTTCGTCGACGATGAGCTAGCGCTCGCGCTTCCAATTGTTCTCGCACGGCGGCGATCTCGGCGGTCATGGTCGTCAAGGCCTGCTCGACGGTGCGACGCCAGCGTTTGGAGTCGTCCGGGGGTGTTTGTGGTGGTCGTCGTCGTTGTCTTCGACTTAGGGTAGTATCGTGATCGTAGTCTTCCTCCTGGTGGGAGGGGAAGTTGTACCCTTGTTGTTGTTGATGGTAGTCATGCGATTCGTGACGGTCGTAAGTGTTGTTGTAGTCTTCTTCCTCCATATGTTCTTCTTCTCCTTCGTCGTTGTCGTCTTCATTCTCGAATAGATTATCTTGCGCTTCCGCGTACACTTCCTCCTCTTCCTCCTCCTCCTCCTCTTCTTCCTCTTCAGGTGGTTCATCCTCCATCTGTCGTCGAAACCCCGACTCCGCCTGACTAACCGGACTCAACACCCGTAATCTCTCACTCCCTCTCCCTCTAGCCGTGGTAGCAAGTAACTGCTCATACTCCGGACGTGACAATTCCCTACTAGACTGCTGGAACTGCTGATGCTGCTGCTGAATCCGTGCATGATCTCGTATGGACACCGCTGCCGCCGAAGCCACCGGACTACCGAGGCCCTGAGATGATGACATAGACGACGAAGACGGGTTGGATTTGATCTGATCCCAGACGAATTCCAATTCTGCGACGAGTTCCCTTGCCTCGGCTGTTTGGGAAGCGTAGTTATGCATGGTTTCAATGAGGGTGGAGATGTAGCGTCGTTTGGCTTCTGTTCGGGAGAGGCCTCGTTGGGCGTGCCATGCGTCCCTACATTATAATTATGATTAGCATACTGATACCGATAGCATATAGAAGAGAAGAATGGGAAAGTATACCATTTCTCACACTCCATAAACACATCCGCGGTATTCCCGACCGGTCGATCCATGACGCCTTCGACATCGCCTTCTACATATTTTCAATTAAATCCTTCGTCAGCAAATCTCATTACAGTATCATCAATCCCCAATAAAAAGAAATGAAAAGGAAGGGACAAATACCCATGCTCTGTTTATACAAGCCATAAAGCTTCAATCTCTCCGACGCCGGCGGTCTAGCGGTCCCCGTGCGGGGAATGCGTTTCACCGTGTTAAGGGCATGGACGAAGACACGATCTGAACATCATATCAATCAGCACATTATCTCCTCCCCAGAATTATATCCATCCCTCCATTTAATGGTATCCAGTATAGTATGTAAAGTAGGTAAAGGTCGGGGGGATCAACGCACCCACTGAATCCGACATGGTGCGAGGAACAAGACGTCGGACGGCTTCAGCAACATGAGAGTAGACGGGGACGGGAGTGCGCGCGATGATGGGTCCGCATCAGTGTCTTGCTGTGTCGTGTCTCTGTATTGGAGAGTAGTTTGCGTTGTGGTGTATTGTTTATCGGTGCGAGCAAAAGAGAGAGAGTGTGTGTGTGTTGAGTGTGTTGGAGTCGGAGCTTCCCCGGATTTCGGCCAAGGGAGAGGAAGAGAGAGTGCGCGCGCAAGACTGGTGATGGTTGGTTCTGGGAGAAAATTAATTGAAATTGGATGTGGTAGGTTTCAGCACGCGTGTAGAGCTGGTTGGTCGCGTGGGGAATTGTTTGGGAGGGAGGGAGGGAGTGTGTGAGGCTGCGAGCTGAGAGATCGGTGGTGTGGTGGTTGTGGTTGATTGCTTGATGGATGATGGGGAGCGATTGAACCGCGGTTGTCGGAGTTTAGTCCCTCTGGCTGCTCAGCCAGCCCAACTTGTGATTGATCGGCTATCTATCGATCTATTAGATGCACCCTACCTCGCGCCATTACATTCATGCTTTTTACTTATTATGAAGTGACTGTAAGATAATACTATCATAAAAGATAACTTCCTTTTTTTTTTTCATTTTAGATGTTAATGTATAAGTCAATTCGTTATAGCTTCGAACCTAATTATATACAAACAAATCGCTAAAAGGCTTTCATTCCTTCCCCTCCTTCTCATGCGCCGCATAAGTATTCTCCGTATCGATGGGTTTCCCCGTCATCACACCAGGCATATCCTCGTCCGCGATTGGTGGCCCTGTGAAATGCTTGCGCGCGTACACCACATACCATAAGATACTGATCGCCGCAAAGCCGGCAAACACCACACTCGCGTAGTTCATGCTACTGGCATCCACCGGCAACGAGGTAGGCATGCAGAAGAGCACCACAGCCAGGCAAATCCAGCAGATGGATACGATGTTGATCGCATATCCAAATCGTCCCAGCGAGAAGCTGGATTCCTTGACGGCTTCACGCCCCCGAAGCACGCAAATGAAGATGGGAAGGCCATACGAGATTGACAAGCAAATGGTGGCTACGCCCGTAAACGAGTTGAAGGCCGCCGAGGAGCCGAAGTAGATCAGCCCTAACAGGCAATCAACAACGGTGGAGAGGATGATGGCCCACACTGGCACATCTAACTTCTTGTTCACTTTCCTCCAAAGTCGGAAGCCGGGGATGGCTCCGTCACGAGCAAAGGCATACGTGCATCGACTGGCAGCCGTCAATGCGCCAATTCCCGCAAACACCAGGATGCCCAGCACCAAGAACAGCAGCCCGAAGCCTCCGCCAGCGGAGCCGGTGGCTGTCTTGAAGATGAGTCCGATAGGCTGGCCGCTGGCCACAGCCAAAAGGGTCTGCACCGGGGGCAGAACAAACATGATAGGGATCAGATAGACCAGACCTGTGATACCGGCCGCTACCACCGATAGCACAATAGCCTTGGGGACCTCCCGATGCGGATTCTGCACCTCCTCACACATGGCAGCCACCATTCCGTATCCAGTGAGTGTGTATGCTGCCTGCAGCAGACCAACAAAGAACGCCCAACCAGCAGGCCTAAACATCATCAGCACGAGTCCATGAGCAGTCCCGGAAAAACAACAGATAGGGGAACCATACCATCCACTCTGCGAAGCATCATAATGCGCAAAAACAAACTCAGCGTCCCGTCTCTCATCCGCCATGGTCAAAAGCGTAATGAGAATAATCACGACACTCCCGGCCGTCCAATAAATGCACACTTTATTGATCAAATCCAACCACTTGGAAAAGAAGATATTCACCAACGCACAGCACCCAATCACCGCCCAAAACATGAGAATAGTCTGCCAAGTGTTGGCGACAAAGTCCTCATTCCAGAGCGAAATGGCACTGAGGATCAACTGCCCTCCCGAGAAGGTGATACTGAGTGTGACGGTCCAATTGCCCACGAGGGTGAGCCAGCCATCGATGAAGGACATGGCGGGGGCCCATTTGCGCGTGGAGAGCATGGCACTCCAGTAGTAGACTCCGCCGGCGGTGGGGTAGACGGCGCAGATCTCGGCCAGCGAGGCGGCAATGGCGATGGAGATGAGGGTGACGACGACCCAGCCCCAGATGACGCTGACGGATTGGCCGTCGGTGAGGGTGATGTAGAGGGTGGTGCTGAGACCGAAAGGGGCGGCCATGATGGCGAAGGAGCTGTTGATACATGAATTATGTGATTAATGTCCCCCCTCCTTACTAGTAAATATATATAAATGCTGGAATGGAAAACATACAGGCCGAGAATACTCATCATACTCAAATTGCGAGGCAATTCACTCTTGTAGCCCATTCTAGCCAACGCCTCGTCGGCGTTGGCATCCATGGAAGGTTGTCGCATGATGGGCAGTTAATCAATCAAGAAGTCGTGTGTCTTTTCTTTATGAACTGGAAAAAGACGTAGGTGTGTATTCCACTAGGGTTATCTCTCAGGAATTCAAGTCTCTTAATTTAAGACAGACATATCGTCATTAAAAGTAAATCCAGATCCCAAAAAGTAAGGGATGGGAGTAGAGTGAAGAAAATATAACAGGGAAAAGGAGAAAGGGAGAGAGAGGGAAACACGAGCAGGATAAATGAGGGGAATAAGAAGGAACAAGAGAGAAGAAGAGGAAGAACAGCAAAGGGCAACTTTAGTTTAGCTTCCAGTTCCTGAACTCAATTGCTGCTGCTGCTGCTACATCATCCCCCCGCACTTACTTACACTGTTTTAACTCTGTCAATTCCATAATAATCCACCAGGAATATCCACACCACAAGAGACAACGACAACGACAACGACAACAAGTGAAAGACTGTCTCCATCAAATTGCCAACTTGCCAATGAGAATCCTCCTCCCCGCGATAAGCTCCCCGACTAAAACTCCTCCGGTGTCGGGCTAGTGGTCGGCGGTCCGAGACCGCGCTGATAAGCCATGATTAACAACCCTCATTCTCCCTGTTAGATAGTTAACAAGGTGATGACTTGATCCTATCTTTTATACTTCTTATCAGATTTGTATATACCTTTGAGGAATATCTTCATCAAATGAAGATATCAATCATGACTACTTACCACCCATATAACTACATCATCACCAACAATGTACTGCCCAATGCAGGTCTAATTCCCCCCTGACTGGGTTCTTTAAATGCATCCATGCATATTATTCTCCCCGCAATCTGCACGTTCGGAACCAGTACATCCTTTTCTGCAGTGTCGTGTACATCATAAGCTAGGGCTCGTGACACTTGCAAACACGAGGGCGGAACAAAGCTTACTCATTACTTATTTTGTAGCACTGATGCCTCGGAAAGGGAAATCCCGCCGGATAAGTTGGACTGACTGGGTCATGGCCTCCGCGCGGTTCTTCCCTCTCCTTCAGTTTCCTTCTCCTGTGTGTGTGGGTGGGGAGGCGCGGGGGGGAAGGGAGTCTCCATCACATCCGCTCGCTCCTCACTTTTGCGAACCATGGTGCTGAATTGCCTGGTTCGTGGGGTAACAGGGTGGGTGCCAGATCTGGGTCTGTCTACGAGGGATTACTATTACTCTGCCTAAATTGACTACATCTGGTTCAAATTGTACTCGTAGTAGTGTATAATACTGTAGGGTATATCTGGTATAACTGACAGGATATATATAGTATTACAAAGTACTCTTCCTCGGGTCAAATAATAGTATGATTTCTAGCTATTTCGGAGTTTCACAACTATCCATTTCCAACGTACATCACGGCTGGTGTCTTGTCACTCACTACTACAAAGTAAGTGACGGCTGCCACATCCATTGCCACCCCTCACCAGCAACACTCGAGCCTCAAGTCGGACTCCAGTGCTCAAACAGGGCATCAGGCAAGGATGAGCGCCACGGAATAAAGATAGAGAAAATGCGGGGGAGAAAGTGGGCATGAGGGGGAGGGGATAACAAACACATCAGCTCGACCGAGAGGGTAAGATCCGAACGAATAGGAAAACACAGGGGAAGGGCATGTAGGTGGGGGGTATCAAACAGGGGGAAAGTGGTTCACTATAACAGAGACAAGTCCATCATCTTCGCAGGAGAAAAATCCATTGATATCGAAATGGAGGTTTTGTGTTTGTCTTTTGTGATTTTCTTTTTTTGTGTGTGTGACATGTCTAGTGTACGTGCGGACCAGAAGTAGAGGGGCGAAAGTAGGCCCCAATATCTCTCCAACAGACAGATGTAAGGTAGGGAGAGGGTCCAGGCAGGCAAAGGAGGAAAGGTGACAAGGGGAACGGTAGATGGGAGGGAAGATAGGGGCAATGAAAGCAGGGAAGAGGGATGGATATCGACGGGGGAAACAAATGATCGCGGGAACGGCGGTGGGTGGGCCAGCCCGGGCATCAAGAACGCCTGGCGTTGGGTTGGGTATGGCGGATGGCCACCTGGCCGACTTGCCCACCGCCACTTTTTGAGGGGGGCCAGCCGGTCGCTCTCCTTGATTCTGTATACTGGACTCCTTCGCCTTCACCACTTCAATCAACTCCCTCGCAGACAATGAAAACAAGATCATGCATGGCCTCCAGTAGACAAGGCCTCAAGTTGAGTCGCAACCAGCCAGCTAGCTTCAACTCCGTCGTCAATGATCATCGCCCAAGTGATCACGATAAATAACCGTTCAAAAGCACAGAAATGGGAAAGAGAAAACAAGCAAAACAATTCGCAAACGCCCAGTCATGCAGTCGTCAATCCAGATAAGTCGTTACATGTTGATGCAGTGATAATAGCACGCCAAATACAATGAGGTCACGCACGCACAGCCCCCAGCATCATGGGCTCAGAACGTTGCAGATGTCGTCCGTTCCATCCAGGCCAAAGCCGGCCATGTCGACGGAGTGCAGAGAACCCGGACCACCACGGCCCAGAGAGATATCTGACGAAGCATAGTCATGCTTCAGCCGTTCATGGGGTCCAAAAAACGGCCGGGTCTCTTCGTTGGGGGTGTTACCATCACCCGCTGCCCAAGGCCCATGCTGCCAGAACCTTGTGTTAGCTTGTTGGTCCCCGAAGAGGTCATGGTGGTCGTGGTGGGTCTCGGTCCCGTGGTTGGTAAAGTCATTGGGTGACTGGAACCGCAGATGCGACCGACTGAAACTCGAGCATGGAGAATCGGCATGCAGCGGGAAATCAAGGTTGGGGAATGGCATGTCCTCGACGGTGGTGATGTCGATGGTCGGGTTCTCGGTCTGCTGTGCCAGCGCTGACGCTAGCCGGAGGTTGGAGGCGGAGCTTTGGCGGCTGTGACTAGCCGACCGTTCGATGGCTCGCTGAACGAA